TTAAAATCTTTCATTTTTTAAACATAATTTATAGTAAAAGCTATAAAATTATTCATATTTTATTTTTTCTTATAATTTTCATCACTAGATGTCATTTAATGTCAATTTTTTTCATTTTACGCAAAAATATTGGCTGTATTTGGCTTAAAATTAAGGTTATGTTACACCTACAGCCATCTAGCGGCATGCAAATATATATATTTCCAGTAAAATGTTTGTTTTTGTCATTTTATGCAACATTTTTGACTGAATTTAGCCCAAAATTGAGGTTAATTTACGCCTACAGCCATCTAGCGGCATAAAAATGTATTACCATATTGGACCCGTTAGTATTGAATACTAACAGCTGTACGCACCCAAATAAAACAATAATAGCCCATAAACGCTGGTTTTGATTGTAATAAACGTATCAGGAAACAAATGCGTTTAGTATTCTATCCGTGTTAACATCAGCAAAAGCGAAAATCACCGCAGCGTGCAATTAGGAATGTGAAAAATGTCGCCCTGTCATGCGAATCTTCTATCGCCATCGCTTTTGTATTCGCTGCGTGTCGCGCATGACACAACCGCGTAATATTCTAAATACAGACAATGTGCTGGCTGTAATGGTGTAATAAGCGCTAGTAACAGAAGGCAACAGGTAATAATTCAATACTTAGGAAATCGCTCGTAAAACATCGCAAAATGGAACATGCAATGTGATGACGATCACGATTCAATGCATTTGCATCACATTTCTTTCCGTTTCCTTATAGGCAAACCCAGGTTTCACTTTCAATCATTCATATATTATTTTATTTATCATTGTTTATAATATTTTATATCAACTACTGTGTCTTTTCTTGTTGATATGTAGGAATGGAATTGTAACCAGAAACCGCAAATCGTAATGATTGCAGCATTCTGCGTGTGCGAAATTTAATTAATTCCGTTGTGTACTGTTCGTAAAATGTCCGCCATGATTGATTAAAGCAGGTACCTACGTAGAGGTATTGTGCGAGCTGCCAAACATGCCGCAATCGATCAAATTCTAATTGAATTCAATTGCGAATCGCTGGAAATCCAAGATGGCGCCGGCGGATCCATTTTTGGACATTGCCAGCGCTATCGCAGTGGAATTGTTTTCGTTAGAAGTTTGCACGCTCGTATTAATAACGTATTAAAGGTCAGTAAAGTTGTTATGACCGCATAAGGACGTTGCCTGCTCGCCAGATCACCGGTTCGGTTATATTCGTTGTATTAGTCGCATTAGCAGCGGTAGTGCAAATCGAAAACGCTTCACATTCCGTCGAAAATGAAACTGGACTTGAAAACTAACCATCGCAATCAGCAAAATATGGAAAAACTGTCAATGACCAAAAATGATTATTATTCGTAAAGAATAAGAGTTTTTGCAAAATTTCGCGGTTTTATTAACAAAACATTTAATTTTACGCAAAAATTTCGCAAATTTTGTTAAAATAATATTTAACCTAGCATTTAATAAATAAAATATATAATTTTAGTGATTTTAAGTTATACTAATGATACCTATTATAACCTTAAATAAATACCAGATGTCGCTGATATTCTAACCTATAAACTGTCCTCTTAATGTTTCCCCAACGATATATTAATATTTTAATGCGCTGGCGTTGGCGAGTCACGAAGACCAAGTGAATACTGTTTGCGAAATGATACTCCACGCCATATTTAAATATCTGAATATGTATACGCGATAATTCTCCTTAAAGACCATATTTAAATGTGCAGCTGGCATTCAAAGGTTAGCTGATGCTCCGATAGAGGGCCGCATCATAATTGCACGCTCACTTTTACTAAATCCAATAAAAAAGTGTTTCGACGCCATATTTAATTGCCAAACCAAAATGGAACACACGTAGAATAATTCAACGTTTGTCTTCATCACGATAACCATCTTAAAAGTTTAGAAAGAAAAGAATTCACGTAATTGCCGAATCTAATAATAACATCTATACTTAAGCTATACTTAACTTTTATAGCAAGTACTTAACAATGCAAAAAATAAAAAAGATTTCCAATTTTCGGCATGTGCACGCGCTTATTATGAACAAATAAAACCGAATACACTGTATGAATATATTGGATTTGAAATATTTTTTGGGGCCGAAGAAATCGCCGCACGCTTCAAGGCGCAATTCGGCAAATCTAATCGAGTACCATCGCTGTAATTGGCTTTATTTTGTTTCGAATGGCGTCGAATTTAATTAACATACTTTTTTTACTCATTGAGCCACGCGACGGTGCGATACACGCTAATTATGAGCGCTGTTTTTGCATAATAAATAAATAATTAAATTTGCTAGTGCAACATCCGTGTAATAATCGTTGTAAAACGTTTCCAAATGATTGTACAGCGATAAGTAAAACATGTTTGTGTCAAAATCACGTAACATGATATCAAATTACGAGAATATTGGATTATATTCCAATCACACTCGAAAATATTTTATTCATGCAGCTGTCATTGTAAAGACAGGTGTTTTTCATTTGATATTTGATTGGTTGGAATTTCAAGTGATGTTTACCTTTATTATTGATGCCAGTGTCGCAAGAATTGGAGGCGGCGAGGGTGTGCGGGCCGATGCTGTGCCGAAGGGGCGACATCCGCAGCAGTCGCGGCGAGTCCTCGCCGGCGGTCACACCCTCCGTCCCTATGATGCTGTGCGCAGACTCCGAGTGCCGGAAGAGGACCATTTTCTCAACCGGCCGCACACTATTTCTTCACAATCACAATAACAATTTACAATCAGTCATAGATAGTGCATTTAATCCACGACATTGTAAACAAACATCACACTTTTATACCGCTATACAACCAATAAACTAATTTTTATAATTTAGTTTAATTTAGTTAATATTGTATCACTGAGTGTTTTCATTTCGTTGAAAACAGATGATTGTAACCGCGATCGCGTGGATGCTCGGCACCCGCAGCTTGCCGCGTCGATCACGGACGAACGCTCACGGTGAAATGCACAACATGCACGAAGCACGCGTTTCTCCACTCCGTGTTCGGCGCACGGAGAGATTGGGAGATGGTGGGCCGAGTTTGCGCCGCGGCGCACCGAAACGCACAGCTGATGAACGATGAACGATGAGGATGCGGAGAAGAGGAACAGAAATGGTAGCTGCGTTGGTACACAGGATAGGGGTGATACTGGTGATAGGGATAGAGATAACATTGTGGGCTTTGGCTGCAGATGATCCAGTGCTTCGCTTCTACGCTTCGGAATGGAATTACGACTACGACCCCTGGCTGACAAACACAGGATCCATAATTTTGGCATTCCACTTCGCCCACATTCACAACCACGGGCATAAGAACAATACAAAGATATTTACTTTTTTTTCTTCCACAAAATAAAATCTTCCCGAATCTAATTGGATTAGACTCAAAGTTGTCTAGTTTAAGTCCCAAATTTGTTTTACTAGTTTTCCTGTTTACCCGCAGTGTGGAATTTAATTAATTAAGCAATTACTAACTATTTGCTTGTAACACAATTACCCGACGCCCCTTGAACCTCTTCACGCCAGACTGGATATCAGACCACGAGTGTGTTTTTAATTGAAGCACTTCAACTTTAAATAACGCTCTAATTGAAAATATAAAAGTGAATGTGATTTGTAGGCATCTGCGTGAGCAAAAACAGGAACATAAACTTTCCTCGCAACGACTTCCCCAATCCATATCGATATAGTTCCTCCATAGGGCTGGCAATACAGCTTCCCTCCGACGTAGAAAATACAGTATACAGTACCGAAATAAACAGCAGCGAATTTTGGGGGAGCGCACATCCAGACTTCCTGCGTCTTTCCTCCCTACTCCCGTGTCCCTAGTCTCTCAACGCAGTCGTCGCCCTTTGAGCTTGCACAGCTCCCACGTTCACGTTTTCATTCATCCAGTCCAAATGCTAACCTATAAACCATTCCCACTACTACAGACACATCCCCTACTTCTTTTTGTATTTGGAGTGGTTGTAGTAGTAGTAGTAGTCTGGTTTGTTTTCGTTCCATCGTTCTGCTTCTGTTCGCGATTTCTCCACTCGAGTGCGTCACACACACACAAAACATAAATAATACACATGCGTTATATCGTAGATATTATATCCGATAGGGGCGTTTCGCTTCCCGATCCGTATAGTGTTCCATTCAAACCAGTTCAGTTCAATTTATACTACAGACTATAGAATCCGTAATTGTAGTTGTAGTATTACTACGAAGAACGAAGGGAATATCATGTTTTACAGTTCAACCCTCGGGCGCACGATTACGTTGTGCAATTTTCGACCAGACCACATTACCACAACCCATATACCATGTGTTCCTAATTTTGGACGTGTAGCACACGCGCCGAGATAATGGCGTGGCGTTGGTAATTGCACTATGCGCATCCTAACTGAATCAGAACAGACTACACACATTCTCGTTTAAGGTGCGTGTGGTTAAGTGGATCCCAACTAGGTAGCTATCATCATGCGTCCCGAAACTAAGTTGGGTATGAGGGGGGTTATTAACTGTCTCGTGGGAATATCCCAACACGGCGGGTGGACTATTGTTCAGGGCTCACAAAGAAAAAAACACAAAAAAAATTAATAAAAACTTCTTACGAAAAAGAAAAATATTTCTCTGAAGGCGTCTGGCTTCGTATTAATTCGTTTTGTATTCTAATATTGACACCTATGCATTTTTTGCAAATTTGATATTTCCTGATCTGATCTGATCAATACAATTAAATAAATTATTTAATTTCCAACGCGTGGTACAAGGCTAAGATCTATCAAGGTCTTATTTTTATTTATTTAAACGGTTTTTACTTTTTTCTGTTACGAAATTTCAACAGACGCCTTCACTCGCGCCCACTCCGAATCACGACAACAATAAACCGACGAATCCAAAAATGTGCACACCGAATTCATTCAACTGCGCCACATACAATTGTCAATGGTAATTGCGGAGTGTAAACAAAGTCAATGTAATACCTGTGGATGTTGCATTATATTAGATTGCACAAGCGCACTGGAACAATACAATGCTAGTACAGTTATGGTCGCTTGATGATCACTCCTGATTTGCACATGTGAAGACATATCATATATAATGTGTTTTATTTTTGGTCATCGTTCGCAGTCGCCGTCACGTGTTTAACACGTTTATTCAACGCGGCTTTATTCAATTCACCGCCCCAAAATGGCAGGAATATTCTTCGTTCTTCTGATTGTGCTATATTTGAAGGGAGAGTTGTTATTTCTTTGAATGCACGTGTCACTGTATAATGATGTTGTAGTCTTATATCTAACCAATTGTTTATATTCATCGAGGGGATTATTTCTTGTGCTATACCAATATCAACACATTCTTTCGCTGATAATATACGTGCTGATAAAAGTAGATCCAGGGCTTTGTGTCTTCCAATACGTTGTGTTAATCTAAATATTTTATTTTTATTTTTTTGAAAAAAAAAATATAAAAAAAAAAATTTACTTACCGAGTACCCCCACCCCATGCAGTGACAATCCCGAGTTTACCATGAACAAGTCCAAATCTTACATTTTCATTTACTAATATGAAATCACAAGCTAAAGCGATTTCAGTCCCACCTCCAAGTGTTGGTCCATCAGCATAACAAACACTGAACATTTTCAACGCGCTAAGCCTACTTAAAGTATCATTCATCCACGTGTTCATTACCGAAGCGCCCTCTGGTGTGCCGCTATCACGTGCGAAATTCAAATCGCCACCCGATGAGAAATTACCACCATTGCCTTGTAAAATACAAGCTTTGCCTTCGTCCCACATCTCTAATGTTCTAATGTGATCATGTAGTTCCACCATCATACGACCTAATATAAATTATGATTTGATTTGATTTGATTGCTGGTTGATTATTGTGTGTTGCGTCTCACCACTAATGGCATTCCGCTTTTCCGGATGGTCCAAGGTGATGATGGCGACGCCGCGCGTGGGATCCTTCTCCATCGTAACGGCGCCGCCGGCAAATTTATACAGATATTCTCTGGCGTCCATCTTGCGCGTTTTCTTCTCAGCGCTGTCGGCAATTACGGACGATAGCAAATTGCTATTGTAGCGAGTTGGAATATGTTTCGCGCTGTGTGATTCACATGCGTGTTTGCCGAGCGATAACTTTGGGAAAATTCCCAAACGCGGAAATCTGCAACATCACAATGCGCACGTGTTTGATGTGTAATTCTATTGTGAAAATGTTAGCGGCATTCGGCAAGTTCAAGCAGGCGAGTTTAATTTTATAGCGAAAATGAGTATTGTATTAGTACAATAGGCAACCAAACTAACTTTTAAAAGCGCATTAAAGTACATTGTCTAGATATTGTCTAGATGCCCTTGATATTGCTACTACTGCTAATAAAATGTTACCTTGTGTTACTTTTAGCACGATTGTCACTTCATTAGTCACTTAAACTGTTGCCAATATAAAAACAATGCTAAAATACAATTTATTCACGTTGTACACCAGAGAACGAATGAAAGAAAGTGATGAATGCGTGTACAGTAGCAATATTCGTTTACTTTACCTCATTTTATACGGTTTTGTCGTGCTGTCAAGGTCAGGTTATGTCATACACGCGTTATTTCTACTAGAACATCAAATTGATCAGTAGATACGCACATTGGACATTTTTTCCATCGAATAAACATAAAAACAGGTCAATAAATAAAAATAACCCAAATCAAACTAATCCAACAAATCGATGTATAGGTAAATTTCTAGGACATCAAAGGGTACAATACTTACCGTTCGTCCGTAATGATTTTATCTAAAAACAATTTACTTTTTATCATTCGAAAATCAAGTTGTCATAACGACCGGTAATGAATCACAACACGTGTTAGTGGTGCACGTACAATCATTGCAACACCTTCGGGTCATTTGGTCGGTGTTAGGGTAGTGTGCAACAACACAACATGCACTCCAGTGGCACGAATGCCGCTGACAGTTCCAAGCTATGTCGCAATCGCAGCCCTGCTTGTCTTCTTAATCACTGTTATCGCCTTCATCTTCTGGTATCAACGCACCGAAGTCCCACGACCTGCTGCAGAGAAAAAAGCAGCCGCGTTGGTGCTATTCGCCACAGAAAATGGTCTGCAATTGAGGACGTTAAGGTTTGACCCACAAAATGGCGGCAATCGAAGGAATCAACGATACTTGCACAACTATTCATTTACGGTCTGTGATAATGATATTCGACAAATAAGTTAATAAAAATCTTGTCTTGTGTGAGAATTTTAAACTGAATTAAAATTTTACTTACCTATAATTGTTAATTTATTAATTATCCCACTTAACAAATCGTTTTTTTCAGCGTGTCACATTATCAAACGCAAACACAAAACACACCCTTGTTTACCACATTATATTACACTAATTGTAATCATCAACATAATTAAAAACAAGTCAGTTATTAGCCATTAACAACACCAGCGCTTAATTCATACGCCATCATGTTCCAGTTGCAATCAAACACAAAAATTGAAATCCTCGAGAAAAAGAATTTACAATTCATAAGACAATTCTACTTTTATATTGGATTACTACCATATTACGACGAAAACTTCATATTATACTCAAATCTCTTCAGATATATCAAACCAATAATCATTACAACATTTATCATATCACTAGGAGTGATAAAAACAGTTCATGATGGTTCTCTTCAAGACGACGACATGGCAAGGGTATATCTTACGTTAGTATCAAGTTCCTGCACGTTATTCACGATAGTTATGTGCGTGATAAAGTTCTCCACGTGGCAGGCACCGAAACTTGCACGTTTATTCACAACAATACAAGATACCGACGTGATATTTCAACAATTGAAACAACCGATACCAATGGTGCATTGCAAATGGATGCTGTTACTATTATTCAGTATATATTTGATGGTTTCTTCACTTGGGGCATATGCATTCAAAAATATCCCTGTGCTTTATATCGTTTTGGGTGGAGTTGATCATACTGCATTGTTATATGTTGGATTTATTAATGTTTTTGTAATGCAGTTGTTGTTAATGGCAAAATTGCGATTTCGAAGTTTAAATCGTTTTTTACAAGGATTAACGTCATCGCAAGTTAATACAAGTTGTGTTACCATAGAGATTATTGTAAACTTGCACAATATGGTGTGTAATATCTGCGAGATGATACAGGGTGTTTTCGGGTGGCATTTGTTGTTTTTTACTTTCATCAGATGATGTTTACGTTGTCATCGCTGCATCTTTCGATGACTTCTTTTAGTGCTACTGATATGGCTACTACTTTATATTGTACATTAGGACTTGTTACTGTGAGTATATTTTTGGTATAAAATAGGTTATGTTTGATTAAACCTAAAAAATGTTTTTTTTTAGTCACAAGGAATTATTTTGGCTGTATTATGTGATGTGGTGTCTGCAGAAGGTAGAAAAACAGCTAGTATTATCTGTGACTATGTCAACATGCATCCACATGCGAATTCATTGATTCTAAGCAAAATGAAGTTTTTTCTGCAGCAATCCAAAGAGAAAATGCCGAAATTTACAGCGGCTGCGTTTTTTCCAGTGGATAACTCGTTGATTTTTATGTTTATTAACTTAACTGCTACTTATGTAATAGTTTTAATTCAATTCCTACCGTAGAATAATTAAAAATTTGAATTTTTTTATTTTCTCCCTCTTTTTGTATGTGAAACTGTCAATATTAAACGCAAGTAAAGATAACCTTCAAATCTCATTCAAAACATTCAAATAAAGTTTGAAAATGTCTCCTAAGAATATCAAAAATAACATACTCACTGTAATCAGTGGTTTAATGTGTAACGATGATAACTTACGACGAGTTTCTGAAGATAGAAGAAAAGCACTTGAATTTACTGAAGGTATTATTAAGATTTAATCATATTTTAGTCATTTTATGGTTTTTCTAGAATATGCTTTGATTCTGATTGATATAATGATGGATTTTGGTGAACCTATAGAAGAACGCCTAATGGCAAGCATCCTCCTTAAACAATACATAGTAGCCTACTGGGAAATAGAACCCGAAGGCAAAATACAACCAATAATCCCATGCGAAATCAAAGACAAAATCAAAAAGTTCCTGCCTGCTGGTATTGGAGATAGTAACAGACAACTAAAACTATCAACTGCTCATATAATGGCACATATTGCTGCCTTAGACTATCCAGATCAATGGCCAAACATGATGAATCTAGTCCAACAGATGCTTCAGAGTGTAAGCAAAGAAGTAGTTGAAGGAACTGTACTCTTCTTAAGAGAATGTCTACCTTACAACATAGTAACAGAACTAGGCCCTACTTTATTCAATTGTTTGTATGAGATTTGTAGTAATGAAAAGTATTCTACAAACACCAGAGCAACAGTGATATCATTAATAACAATATTTTTATTGTCTGATCTGGAACACAATGAGAACCCAGCACATGATGAGATATTAAATGAAGCTGGCAAGAAGTTCTGTGGATTGTTAGCGTATCATTTGAGTCAACCCTATAGTCAACACAGTGATTTTCAACTTAAAGCTGAAATAATCGGTGGAGCATTCGTGCAGTTTTTGTACTGTGACAAAGCACAGGAACCTGTCCAGTTAATCCTATCAACCCTACCGATTATGTTGGAGATTCTAAGCAAATGTGCAGCTGAATATCTGCAAGTCATTGGATGTAGAAGAACCATGCCTGTGGATGCTGATGAAGATGATCACAACCCGAAGTTTTTCCTTAAATTAGTTACGAATATCTTTGCTTTGATACAGATTATTGCAACGGATAAAAACACATGCAAAAGATTATCTCCTATATTATCAGATATTTTTTATTCCATCATGATTTTCATGACGATTACACCGGATATCGAACAGGAATTCATTGAAGATGAACATAGTTATTGTGCAGATGAATTTAACAACATGGTTAATAATAAATTAAGGACTGATTTGAAGATTATGCTTTGTGTAAGTAAACATAACCTTAAAATTTAAAAAATATATTATAAATAACCTATTTTAGGAACTTACCAATCACTTCACAACTGAAAAGATACACATTTCACTATCCATGGCGATTAACAAGATACTAAGTGGTTCTTATGAAATCAAACCGAATGATTCTTTCAACTGGCGTGTGAATGAAAGTGTTATGTGCACGATTGGTTGCCTAAGTGATATCTTTAAATCGCAACCAAGTCATCATGAGTCGTTTAATATCTACGCGTATTTACAGAATGCGTCAATGATTGTTTCACAATGCCGGAATGTTATACTTTTAGCTAGGATTATGCTTGTCGTTGGGAGATTTTCATGTTGTATGAGTTCCGAACAAGTTGTTAATCATTTAAGTACGATTTGTATAAATCTGCGGAGTGATCAACATGTCTTGAGGAATGCAGCGATAAGAGCTTTGAATTTTCACTGTCAACGCATTAGTAATCTGCATGGGAATTGCAGTCAACATGCGAGTGAAGGCATGCAGAAACAACATCTGCAGGCGTTAGTAGATGTATTTAATTCTTTATTGGAGAGTTTGATTAATGTTGCTGAATATTTAAATCCGATGATTTTTGGGACGACTATCATGAATATTTGTGAAATTACTAATGTAAGTTTAATTATTAATATTTATTTAATCAAAAATTTAATTTTTTATTTTTAGTTGAATGAAAATTTAACCTCAAACTTTGCGAGCCGTTTAATTCCGTTTATATTGAATACACTAGCGAAAAACACGCACAATGCGTTAATAATCAATCGCTGTAAGGAATTAATTGTTGGATTGAGTAAAAATCAGTTTTGTGGTGAATATGTTCAATCGTCATTGTTACCACCACTACTTAACCTCATTTCAAACCCCTGTGGATCAACAGATGTTGATAGAACTGAAGAACAAGCTGTGGGACTTTATATTTTGAGTGTTTTAACCGAAAATGCAAGTTCAGAAGCTGTTAAAGATGCGTTAATGATGCAGGGATTCATGTTTGTCATTAATTCATTGAATTCTACTAAAGATATGCTTGTTACAGAGGTAATATTATACATAAATGTAAAATTTAACCTTAAAATTTGTTTTTAAGATGGGATCTAGATGTCTCTGCATGTATCTATTGAAATGCCATATGCATTTCTCTTTAAATGAACGCAGCACTCTGGAAACAGTTTTAGGGGTTATTTATAACCTCTTAGAGCCTGGCAGGAATGAATTGGCTTGCAAACACATCGATAAGATTGTAATTTGTGCTTTTAAAGCCTTTGGAGATAAATTTTACCAACACAATGAGAAATTAGTAAAGTGCATGTTGAGTAAATGCAACTTTTCACAATCAATTGAGGTTAAGGAGAGTTTCAACGTGATTTTTCTGCATTACTTCTGTTATAACTACGAATTAATTACTAGTTTGTTGAATAAAGTACCAGGCCCGACTGGGGAGAGCGCTTTGAAGCATGTGCTATCAACTGCAGTTACTTTCAAGTATTTAGGTAGTAATTATGGAAAATATTTACAGTGAGTATTGCACTTACCAATTTATCAGATTATAAATGAGTTTTTCATAGGATTTTAGTGTTGTGTCAAATGTTGGAAGGCACATTGTTACGAGAAGATGCACGATTGAAGAGTATACACTTCACTGAACTGGTAGATGGACAACAGAAAGAAGTCTCGATGCTGTCGTATATATTCCGCAGTCTTATCGACAAGTTTCTGCTACAAGTGAAAAACCAAACTGTGGTAAGCGGAAGTTAACCTGAGTCAGAGGCCATTTTGATTGCGCAACCAATCAGAACGCGTTATTTCAAATTTTGCGATTGCAGCGCCTCTATGTTAATTTTAGAACTAAAAACCTCAACGGTTTTAAAAACGGTTAAAAATGTGTTTTTATTGTTTGTAGCAAGATTGTGATAGTGATACGCAATCCCAAGACGACGACTCCGAAGTAGAAGATCTAATAACCGACCAGCTGATTGACCTCTGCACAGTGCTCGATGAACCCATCACGCAGAAAGGCGTAGAAGACTATCTCAATAATTACATGCACATGTTCGCTGGTCATGCTAGTTTTAAAACGCTGGCTGATACTTACCTTGATGAAAATCAACGCCAAAGACTCTACAGTTGTTTCTCCGAAGGTGTTCAATACTATTAAACATTCAAGTTGATAACTAGCGTACATATTTATTCATCTAGCTGGACATCATTATCATCATTAATGGTAAGGAATAATTTAGTTTCTTTCTAAAACAAATTACGACTCGTAGAAAATGTTATGAGCATAGTAGAGTTATGAAATATGGTTAGGTTACTGTATCAGCACGAGTTTCGAACGTAGGTCAATACACATCTCCTCCTGCTCCATGATCCGCCGCACAAGATTAATCTTCTTAATCTCGAGAATCTGATTCTCTTGCTGTAGCAGCGTCATAATCTCATCCATATTTTGATCGTTGTTATACGTCGGTATTACAGTGTCCTCCACAATCTGTTTCTTTAGTTCGAGAACTTCCTGACGTTCATTTTGAATTGTTTTTGTTAGTTTATCACGTAATGCGCAGAGTGCTGTGTGTTTAATTTGTAAGAGAGCGATTGATTCGTCAGTGTTGGGCTGCAGCGAGTTGTCTAGCAACTGTCGACGTTCTAAGGCTAATTTATTTTGATCGGTTTGTTCGTTTTGTGGCGCTGGTGGTGGTTCTGCATCAACTGGAGTTGGTGTTTGTGGTGAATCTACTACTGTGTTATTTGGAGGACATGAATCTGATGATGGAGGTGAAGAATCTGGGGAATCTTCTGTAGGGAGTGGCAAAGGTATTGGTTCTTCTTCATCTTGAGTTTCTTGTAGTTGTGATTGTGTTGGTTGTGGCAGTTGAGCATTCTGTGTGTGAATTTCAACTGTTTCTTTTATTATTGTTGAAGTTGAAGTAGTAGAAGATGAAGATGGGGTTGGGTTGATAGGGACGGCTGGTACTGATGCTACAACTTCTTTAACTTTGTCTGGTTTTTCTTCTTTTTGAAGATTTTTGATTTTTCTCTGCAAAAACAATTCAAAACCACATAACCTCAATTTTATACTATTCTAACCTTTAACTGGGTGATTATCCTTTGAACTTCCCAAAGTAACTCCTCACGAGTCTTAATAATATACCCAGCGTTCATTTCCGCATGAATCTGAGACAATAAACTCTCTTGCTTCAATAATTCAACTTCAAGTTGATCCAATTCAACCGGCAATTGTTCTGTGCTACTCAAAGGAGGAATATAAGCTTCTAGAATAACCGTAGGAAACAACGCTCTGCAATGATGTAGCAAAGCTGTAAGCAATCGACTGGATGTATGTAAAGTTGGTCCTAAAGCACCGACCATCGTGGATATATTCATCTTATTCAGACGTTCATTCAAAACAACATCGTCTAGATGTATCAATATCCAAGAGAGTAATAGTCGATTGTTGGGCGGAAGATTCTCAACGAGTATTTTCAGGTGTTTCTCGCGTGTGCCAACGTTCAAGATGGCGCCCGCTTCCTCAAACCTCACTAACATATCACTCGTGAAGATTGGTTCGGGTAAATCGCGCAGGAAAAGCTTCAACAAACTAGTAGCTATTGGGATTTCATATTCGGTAAGATCTACGTGTTCGCGTTGATTGTAAAGCTTTCTGAGTTGTAGGACTTTTGCTTTGGTGCCGCTCATCTTGTAAACACCTTCAAGTGTGAGTCCTACTGATTGGATGTAGTCTATGCAGGCTCTAACTGGTAAAGGGATGTCGATTCCGTCATGACATCGGCTTCTTTCTACTGCTATGTCTAGGGGGACACCAAATATTGGCATACCATCTGAAATTTATAAAAATTTTATGGCTTTTGATGGTTTTTGTTGAATTTTGGTGGTATTACCTGCAATATCTGTGTGTTCATCAGCTGATTTACATTTGCGTTCTTTTTTCTCAGCCTTTTTATCCTTTTCGACTTTTTTCTCACTTTTTTTCTCTTTTTCCTTGGATTTTTTATCGATTAACTCTTTTTCCCTGGACTTTTCGCGTTTTTCTTTAGATTTCGATGTGGTAAATTTAAACGTCTTAGATTTTTTTATTTTTGATGGACTTCTAGCACAAATATCATAATATTAAACAATGAAAATTTATTTTTAATGATTTTTCATAAAATTCAACAAAAAATAATCACCTGCTATCATTTTCATCAGCAGAACTCTCACCCTCTAGAGCTGCATAGCCTCTTTCCTTATCCTTCTTATCCTTTTTCTCCTTTCGCTTAAGAAGATCTTTCTTGGCCAATTTGTCAGTCTCATCACTGTCTGCAACACAAAACATGTCTTCACTAATAACCAACTACATAATACTAGTAGTTTGTCATTTCCAGTCATTGTGCTATTATTTATGATTCATTATGCTTGTAAATATGCAGTGTATCTACTTACAATCACTGTCATTCGATCCTTTCTTACTGCCTTCTGATACAAACAGACCTGGGAAGTCTTTCATCACATCTGGACTCTCAAATTCCATTTTAATCAAACTTAATTAGAAATCCACACACTTGAATACCCAGCTTATCGCTTTAACATATTGTTAGTGAAACAGTGCGACGCTATCATTTCTCACACATTGCTTGAATCGCTTAAATATCGAAGAATGTGCTTTGTAGTTTGTGCTTTTCACCATGTTTAGTTTAACTTAACAGCTGAGTGAAGAGTGGATTGTAAACGTAAGTTCATAGATGGCGATACTGATACTGTTGGATTGTTTTATGTTTATAAATTTGTTTTGATTGTTTTACCACGCACAATGGCAAAATAACAACGTAGAGATAAGAAATATACGATTTCTACTAAACTGAGAAGACCTATACCATATGCCAAACCAGCTAAACCTCCAATTTGTACTGAAATTTAAAAATTTAATAAAAATTAGTAGTATTTATGAAGTTTAGTAAAAATTGGAGGTTTTTATACCAAGAAAATCAGTTTCCGTGTAGATAGTGTTAATCTGCAGACGTGTTTGGGTTAATAGCTTAAGAATAATAGTTATTTCTGCGGAAAACATCCAAGGCATAGTTGTACTGCGAACTATTGTGATTGCTTCATCTTCACATTTTGCATCACATCCCTTGCAAAATCCTTGACCATTATCGTCATGTAAATGGATAAATTCATCTATAAAAGAGTTTAAATCAGGTTATAAATATGTTTTTATATATTTTTAGGTTATGTTGGTTTACGTGAATGTTTGCCTATGCATATCATGCCATCAAGGTTGCATACTTTCTCGCCATCTTAAAAAACGTTTTTATACATTTTGAAGAACAATTTTCGACAGTTTCGAATGAATTCCCAAAATATTAGTATTAGCAGAAGACACAGATGTTTTAATACAAAAAATTCTGTATTATTTTGAGAATAAAATGCAAAAACACTTTTTATTTAATAATTTAATACTTACAAAGTCTCCGAAAGTAAAACGGGAAACACTTGCACAATCGCCATGCCAAACGCATTTTACACTCCAACCGACACAAGTTGTAAGAATAAACCGGAAAATACTTCAGATCAGATTCGTCTGTAAACCGACAATGGCGTTGTGATATCCTCAGACTACGAATATCCGGTACTGCTGTGTGTTTTTCAGTCATTACTTCCATATCCATCGCACTTTCAATATTCAATTCGAAGAAATTATCCAGATAAGACGGAATTTCATTATAAGAATGCACAAATAGTTTGATAGGAAGTTGTATATTATTGACATGTAAGAAAGGATCCTCTTCACTGGGCATAATGTCACTTATTTTGGGGTCGGAGATGAGCGACATGTCGTTTTTAATGAATCTCCTAATAAAATAATAAATTATTATTAAAATTTTTGTATACTTTTTTGTTTGTTGTTGATATCTTACTCTGGTGATGAATAATTCGATAAAATAGAATTCAGCGTGAAACAAATCCCAAACTCAGTCATAGTTTGATCGATAGTAAAACGTTCAAAATGATCTGGTTGCGTTTCCCATACTTTAGAGGTTAAATTATTTAAGGTTAGATATTCTTCTGGATTTATACGATCAAACAGTTGCTTAAATTGTGATAAATTTTCGTATGTTGAATAGTTTCCATAGAATAATATGGAGACAAATTGTTTAATATCTTCAACAAGAGCCATGCTTTCGGAGCTTGGTGGGGTTGTTGTGATATTTTCGTCTTGCATATTATCGGCATCGTCCCTCATTTCAGGTATATCATAACCATGCTCTCTTTAGTAAAATAAGGTTAAATTAAAATTACGATTATGATTAAAATGAAACATGAACAAAGAATTTAAATATATTTACCTAAAAAATGGAAAGATGTAATTTTTCCAATATTTGTTGCCTGCATCTTCGTTTGGAGGAGTTGATGGGCATATTGTGACGGCAGGGAAAGAATGACGCCATTGTTGATAATTACGTAGGAGTGTATTGACAGTTGGGGAATTGTTGTAACGGTTCCAGGCTTGGCGACTTATGATTACGCATGGTATTGCAACCAAAATTATGCAAATTATCCAAAATATTCTATAAAATTAAAACATTAATTAGAAAGTTTAATAAATCTTACAAAAGTCATTTAAAAGAGAATTTTAAAACAGAATCTAATAAAAAATTAATTTTTTAGAGAAGGCAACTTAAAATATACGTTTTTGAGTATTACTAGTGCCATTTCAAATTTTTTTGTTATTAACAAAACTGATTTAAACTTAGTTAAGAAATTATTAATTTACTTCTTGTAAATACCTTTCAAATAAAGTTCTTTTCGGTCTTACTAAATGCACCAATCCATGAGGAGTGGCAACAGCTAAATAATGATGAACATGCAAATTAAACCGCTCCCTAAGAACCGAAACAGTTTTATTTTTTCGTGGCTTTTTGATAACATTAGCGGACTTCATAGTGCAAAACACACTTACTAAACCTTATTAACCTACTGAGACTAAATGTCACTGTCGAGGACATATATTCCATGATTTCTACCTATATTTGATTAAATAATTAATGATTACATTAAAAACACCCGTTTTGATATAATACTCGTATTTTCATGTAACACGTGGCGTGTTTAGTAATTGTTTTCAGTAATCAGATTAAAAGTAAAATATGACCTTAAAACAACAATGCCAATATTTAAATATTTAAATATTTCATTTTTCTAATCTTAAAACTAATTTTAGTTGAAAATAATGTAAAAACGCAAGGAAAAAGATAACTTTTTTTGAATATTTATAAAGTTTACATCTATACCTATAAAAACAACCCGAAAATTAATTTCAAATATTACTTAAACTTAAGTCATCTGCTAATACCACAAAATGTCCGTCATAAAATTACTTCCAATCCTTTTAATAGGATTTTTATCTTTAAGTTCAAACATAAAATCAACCAATGCCTCAGATATACTCATGGCATTATCATTCCAAAGTCTTCTTCAAATCGCACAAGAAGAAGGTCCGAGATTCACCAACCGTATGAATACCTTCGCGCAACGTTTCCACACAGATGTAATGGCTGCCCTTGACAGATCCCAAACCGAAGGACGAGCGTTAATAGCACGTATGGAAAACGCTCCACCAGCGTGTCAAAAACTAAACGAATTTAATTCTTACCTTACACTGCGAGAACATACTCTCATGGATTTGGCTGATGAGGATGTAGTATCCACCATGGAAAATGACTTCATAATCTCCAGAGGTTTCCAAAATTTAAACACAAATGAGAATTGGTTGAGAGAAAAGATTGAAACTTGTATTATATGCAACTGGGATTTCATCAGTATGATTGTCATCAAAAAGAAGATGCACGTTGCAAGGAAAGATATTTCAACACGTATTAGTCGCATGGAGGTGGATTATAGAAACTCGATTGGTAATGATAATAGGTTAAGGATGTTTGTTAATGAATTGAATCGATGCGAACGTCTTAATGGTTAAATTAAAACAATAATAATAATTTGTTTGAGTAATTGATATTTGTTATAATTATGTAGTTATGTGTAAATAAACATAGATATTTAGTTTATATTTATTAATAAAAGTAAAATTATTAGGGAATTTAAGTTTATGTATGTGTTGCCTATATTCGTGTAGAATCAAATAATAGTAGATATTATCCGCGAATAAAAATGGCGGATTATTAAAAATATCACCGTTAAGATTCAATTTAATAAAAATAATAGTGCTCTAAAGGGTTATATTGATAATTAAAGTGAATTTAAAAGTTTTGGAGCGCATATTTAATAAATATTAAAAGTTAAGGTTAGAAATACAGCATAACCTATCAAATAGTAGAAATAATAGAAGAGATAGTGAAACGCAAAAAATGGTCCAGACATAGAGATATTTCGATTTGAAAGAATATTATACCGTTTTTTCATAATTTCTTGGCGTATATCAACGTGATAAAAGTAAGGTTAGAAGTGTTATCTAACCTATTACAAAGTAGTAACAATATGGAGGTTAGTAAAAAATTACAACAAATGATAACACTAAGATGTTTACATTTTAAACTGGTATTAGTCCATGAAAAAAGTACAAAATTTTTTCAAATCGATTGTTTTTATGATATTAGCATACATTTTCATGTATATGTTGAATTGATTAGGTATAACTTGGTATCTTTCCGATGACATTGGTGTTCCAGGAAAATTTGTTGGTTGATTTGATAACTGTTATCAACAAAGTGTCATTGTTTTCGGCAATAATTGCGTTGTGGTTAATATGTCCAACATGCCAAAAAGTTATACAAAACACATATAATCTTTACGTTATTTAAATTTTAGACTAATGACCATGAAGAAAGATTAATATACAAATTAATTCTTGTTAGGGTAACTGTAAAGTAAAGTTAATAGATTAAGAACACTAATGTTCATTAACAAATTGAATCGAAGAAAACGTATTAATGGTAGAAAAAAAATTGGTTTGAGTAATTATCATAATTATCATATTACAACAACTTTCATATAAACAAACATTAATATTTAGTCTACATAAACCCCAAAACAAAAATGTCGAAAGTGAAAGAATACAAGTTCATGCAATGTGTGCGGCCTATATTCATTGTAAATCAAATCGCAATAACTATACCCTTAAAATACTCAACAAAAAATGGCGGAGTAGTAAAAACATCCCCATTAATATTCACTATCTTATCCTTCATAATATTTTATGATGTTTTTCAGATTCTCACAGTAACATCATATGCAATAGTTTATTTAAGAGCAATTATGAGTACATATTTAATGACAGTATTACCAGGAGCATTGGGAATGTTCCTAATAAACCTCACAAGTTTACTAAAACGCAAAAAGTACATTCAAATAATACAATTCTTCAACACTTTCGACAAAAGTCATAAAACCATCATCAAAACATATTAATATCAACATGTTACTCATCAAAATGGCGAGGATTAAAAATTTACATTATACACATCTTCGTCGTGCTGTTTTTATCTGGTTTCATAACAACAGCATCCCCATGGCAATCTGTGACACCAGAATCATTAATATTGAATGGCCTACAGGAAATGTTGAGAAACACAGCGTTTGACATGAAAGAAGTCGCAATTATTCCATTCATACATCATTTCTTAGCATTCGTAAACGTAATAAAACTGAGATTACAAGTTTTATTAATATTATTAAAAAATAGCAACAATATGGACGTCAAAGAAAGACTAAAAGAAGTGAAAACAATAAGATGTTTACATTTGAATTTATTTCGGTCAATTAAAAACGTCGAAGAGTTTTTCAGTTTGATTATATTCACAATAATAACATACATTTTCATGTGTCTGTTGAATCGATTACAACTTACGATATATGCTATGACATTAGTGTTTAAAGGTGAATTGGATATTGATTTTTCAACTATCATTAACTGGTTGTCTATATTTTCACCGATTATTGCTTTGTGGTTGATGTGTTCAACATGTCAAGCTGTAATTGATAAAGTAATCTATTTTTGTACATATTCTAACCTAAAAATAATAATTTTGTTTTTTATAGGCACATAACCTATACAAAGAGGTTAATGTCCAATTAAATGTTTATAATGGTGATAAACAAGTAAAAAATGAATTGGAACACTTTCAAAGTCAAATTGACAACTGTAAATTCCAATTTAAAGCGCTAGGAATGTTCCAAATCAATCATCAGTTGATGTTTGTGATGTCCAGCGCCATTTTGAATTTTACATTGATATTTTTTCAGTTTACAGTCGGTCAAATGCCACAATACATGTCATAGTAATTAACTAATTAATTTCTTTTGTGTTTATTGATAAAAACGATTATTTACGATAAAATAATCAATATATCTACTTTGTAAGTGCAGTAGGAATAAAATGGCGGCACACATAACATTTTTCGAATGTATAAAACCTATTTTTATAATAAATCAGATAATGGTAACGATTCCATTGAAATATTCATCAGAAAATCGCAAATTTAAGTTTTCACCGTTGATTTTTATTGTGCAAACAATTCTGACATTGTTTACCATTGGACAATTGTGTGTTTTGTTTATATCTGCGATTGATAACATGAAAATGATAATGAGTAGTTATCTAATGTCAGTTTTGCCTGGTTTAGTCGCAATGTTTTTCTTAAATTTGACTTCACTCCTAAGACACAGAGAATATTTGAAATTAATGAAAGATTTAACACTTTTGATAAACAATTTAAGTGTCAGTTGATATCTATGGCGATAATAACAAATATTAATACATTTGAGAAGATGTTGAAGTATTCCATGTTAAAATGGAGGACTTTTTGGTTGTTTATCATTCATGGCGTGATTGTGGCTGTTTTAACTGGTATAACAATAATATTTGAACTCGCAGCTACTTTTAATAACTCAAGTCATTTGAGTGGGATACAAAAAATGGTCCAGACGTGTTTCGATATGAAAGAATTGGATATTATTCCGTTTTTGCATCATTTCCTAGCGTTTATTAACGTGATAAAAATTAGGTTAGGAGTGTTACATAACCTATTAAAAGTAGTAATAATTTGGAGGTGGGGAAAGATTGCAATATGTGATAACACTAAGATGTTTACATTTGAAACTGTATGAGTCCATGAAAAAAGTTCAGAATTTTTTCAATTCGATTGTGTTTACGATATTTGCATACATTTTCATGTGTTTGTTGAATCGATTACAACTTGGTATCTATGCGATGGCATTGGTGTTCCAAGGAGATTTGTTGATTGATTTGATAACTGTTATCAACTGGGTGTCGTTGTTTTCGCCAATGATTGCGTTGTGGTTGATGTGTTCAACATGTCAAGAAGTTATACAAAATGTGTGTAATATAATATGATATAATATGATTTATTTAAATATTGTGTAGATATATTTAATTTATTTTTTTAGGCGAATGATCTGCAGAAAGAAGTTAATGTACAGATTAATTCTTGTAAAGGGAACTGTAAAGTAAGGAATGAATTGGAAAGGTTTCAGAGTCAGGCTGGAGATTGTAAATTTGTGTTTAGGGCGATGGGTATGTTCGAAACAGGAAATAGATTGATGTTTGTTATGTTGAGTGCGATTTTGAACTTTACTTTGATATTTTTTCCGTTTACTTTCGTGCAGATACCAAAATATATATCAAGTACACCTTGATTTATTGAAATGTTTTAATAAAAATATGTTAAATATAATTTGTGCGGTATACATTGAGAGAAAAGAGAAAAATCTAGAAAAGTTCGACTGGACTGCTTGATGACTAACTAATGAACGACTAAGCGAGGTTAGGTTGTAAACGAAAAAAACACAAAATAGAGACTAAGCGAGGAGCGCAATGTGCTTCTTTTATACCTACGCACTATCCTCTGAAAGTGGTGGGAAAATAGCCAATGCTATGAGTCTAGTTAAGTCTAGTTACGTGGAATGAAGCGTTGATCGCGTGTGTTTATCTCCCCCACCAATTTTACGCCTTTCACTTTTCCCTTTCTACTGTTTGCTGGTAGTCCGCAGGCATAAAAGGGCAACGCGCAGTGCGTTACGCGCTCAGTCATGCCAGTAGTCCAATCGCAGCTCCTACGCTCCTACTACAGTGGTATCACCGTCGTCATGTAATTAAAGACAAAATCTAATATAAACCTCTATAATATTCATATATTTATAGTAATTGTCATAATATAATATAAAAACAATACAAAATTATGTCTTTGTAGGATAAGCCATAGCCTGGTCATACGTTGGCACTAAAATAATAAAACAAACAATAAATAACAATATAAATATTACCAATATTAATTACAAAACTTACAATTTGTCGGATCATCTAAAACCTCCCAGTCATCCTTTGACTTAGCTGGCGCAGTAGTAAAATCTGGCGCTGACGGCGCCATTGGTGCAGTCGGATAACCTCCAAAGTTAAACCCACTAGCCGCGTCATTATAAGGTGGTGGAACAGGCATTGCCATAGGCATAGGCACTGGCATTGGCATAGCATCCGGTGGTGCAACAAAACCATACGTAGGTGGTGTTACAGGTGGAGCAGTCGCAGTGTTCACCATATTATAAGCCGGAGGTGCCGCCATTGTTGTATTCCTCACACCTATAGGTATATGGCCTAAAGATAAAGGCATACCGAGCTCTATATTTGTGTGTAAGCCAGATAATACAAAAGTTATCTAAAAATAAAAATAATTATTAGCTTTAAATTAATTTTTATAAGAAATACGAGTATACAAACCTCTAACATGTAACTAACTTTAATTACATCGCAATTTACAAAGTTAGTTATAATCGCCGCATTGTTAATCTCAATTGTCTCGTTATAAGTGTTTTCGCCATGGGCACCTACGCCACTGTAATTTTCGCTGTAGATTGTATCTTTATCATGTCTTGTTCTATGATGGGGACTTGTGACATGAAATTCCACATCCTAAAAAAATTAAAATACATGTTAAAAACATCATAGTATAGACAATAGTATAATAAGTATCAAATGACTAAAACGTGAGTTTTTGTCACGAGGCGCATGCTCCACCCTGTGACTAAAGCCCGTGATAAAAGTATTTTAGTCACGGTACTTTAAATGCTTTAAAGGTGGAAGAAGAAAAATTAAATTTTCTGATATTTACCTTTTTGATTTTACATTTAATACATTCAATGTTAGATTGTGACAGATTCTCAACCGAAATATGCAGTGGTAATCTTTCTCCTATTGAAAGCCCTGTTTTGGGAATGTTGGCTTGGACTTTGATACTACCTCTGTTACAACAGAAGAAATAAGTGTTTTTTTCTTTATTTCTCGTTGCTGGATCCTAAAATTTAATAACAAAACATTAAAAACAGAAAAATATAACAAAAAAATCAAATTATGTGTATTTACTTACACGTAAACTTGGATTTCTGTTGAGGTCTACAGGTGTAACTACCATGAAAGGTGACTCTGCTTCATAGTTAAATTTAAGCATTGGCCGCTTGACCACTGCTTTAATTTTGTATTGAATTTTACCCAGATGTTCTTTAAATGTTGAAGGCAAGTCCGCGGGCAGAGTATAAATGAATGGATACTTATGGACTCCTTCACGGATAAACCTTGATGAACCACCATCTTAAAAAACAAAAACATAAAAATTTAAAAAATGAAAAACATAAAATCACTCAGAAATCTCTCTTTGAGTGAGATAAACGATATTGAATAAATTTATTTAATACATATTCAGCCATCTTGTTATAAAACTAATGTTATTTTTCATATTTATTATAAAATCGTTGATTTATGAAACAAATCAAGCTCAAAACAAAAACAAAAAGTAATTCTTTTTACTACTTTTTACTTTTTACTTCAAAAATTCAAAAACGAACAGCCACATTAACTCCATCTAGGGATAAACCTCTAAAATACATTTTAATCTGCGTGGGAGTATTGTATCAGCTGTTTCTATTTGTTTCTATTAAGATCCCACGGAATACCAAGCTTTTCAAGGCCACATTATCACATTCTACTACATATTTATTCTAGACTTACTCTGTAGTAGGTCTATCTCATGATTGATAAAGACATGCGACCCATTATAAGAAACCGTCCGGCTTTCATTGCGCTTTGTTGTTGAATTGTAATGCGATTCTGTTTCCGTCCAATGCGTAGTAGCCTCCCCTTTGATACGTACTACTATTCCTATAAATATAACCTCAATGTTAATCATTTTCATTCCTCAAAAAATTAAACAAAGAAAACATAAATATTATTTACTTACCATGAACTTCTTTGTCACTGGTAAACGTGACCAAAACATGTCCGATTATTGTTTGTCCACCAGTATAATGGGTTTGATAGTTCTCCAGATACAGATCACATTTACTCATTGTGATAATAAACTTACGGCTACACTAGTCTAGTCTAGATGACGTTAAATATAGAACTGTTTTATTGTATGCTTATTGCATGAATCACTCAAGCGCAATCAAGAGATTAACTTCAGCAGGAGTTATATTTCATGATATTCACATTCTATTCACATTTGGTTAAAACGGAATTTCTGAGCACTCTTTGATTAAATTCCTTATAAATGATGATTCGCTTTATATTACACCCAATAAATTGTAATAGAAAACTGTTTATAGTTATTTTTACTTCTAATAAACTAGTTATACTGCAGTAAAATATTCTGGTTATTAGTTAATAGTTTTAGTAAATGATATTTTTATGTTCGTGTATTTTGATGAATGAGATGTCCTTGAAAGTTGAAAAACACTGTTACCGCCACGCGAACTCAGCAAAAAACAGGTAGTAGCCGGTGCGGTGCAGGTTCTTGTTTATCGAACACTCGTACCTGCTCACTGCTCAGTGGTTCATTAACTACTGAACCTTTTTTGAATAAGTATTATATTTTGACCTCAACACTCGAAAACCCAATATCTTTTTATACGTGACTAACTCCCATCTGCAATCAGTATCTGTAAGTAGCGATGATGCAAAATTACACAATGATTTCCTTATCAGCTGATAATTACCTGTGATAATAATAGCATAATTTAGACTTTTCCCTAAACGATTAGTCATAATATTATATTAACTATCAAATGGTTAAACAGGAGTTTTTTGTTTGTTTAATATCGTAATTTCCACCTCGTGACTAAAACCCGTGACTAAAGTACTTTAGTCACATCCATGGACGTCCGTGGTTAAAGTACCACTTTTTATGTCTCAAAACCATTAAAAACTGTTGATTTAAAGGTAAAAGTAGGAAATCAGATAAAATTACCTGAAATAAATCAATGGGTTGTGAGATAAGGATAACAACTCAAATATTTGCTGCCAACATAACAATCATTATTAAAACTATATACAAATAAATACTTTACACATATATAAATCCCCATAATACACAGTACATGGTAGTTGATGGTTGCTCAACCCTTTTGGTAGCTCCGCGGGTCCTACATAACTATCCTATACTTTCAAATCGTCTAAAAAGCTCAGCTTGTAACAATCATCGCAAGCTTTCATATAATATAGTTTAAAATTGTAGCAAAGTTGTCTGTTTAGAAATCCTGACAAAAATCTTCATGTTTTTCTTTAATTTAACCTCAAATCAACATTTTTTCAAAAAATTAAATAAAAAACATGAAAATTCCGTCTGGAATATTTATAATAGCATACTATTATTATAATTATTATAATAATTGATTTTAGTGTATAATATTTAGTATGTAATGATTATTGACTTTAATTTCAAGGTTAGGATTGATGCTTGGTCAATGTTCTGCCATTGTCATAAACTATAACCTAACATATTCTATACCCTATTATTTACAAACATTTATACTGGTTTTCTTCTTCTAAACATTATAATTTATAATATTAATTAGCCCGAGCGCAAACCGGAATCACAATTTTATAATATAATACATAACCCACCATAACCTATATTTTACGCTATCCTATAACCTATAATACATATATTCTATAAGTACGGTTTTCTAACCTCACAAAACAAGTCATCATCAGATTATATATCAGTCGGTGTGTGTTTAGGATCATATAAATCAATTAATGATCATTTAGTCGATCTTGACTTCGACTGCTGCATCGTGAACTCTTTCGATGGACACTTTCTAGATACGCAGCTGGTGCCCAACCTTCAATTCCACTTCCTAAAAATTAAAATTTAAAAAATTATTATTTTAATGTTTATAATGATAAAGTAAATATTTACCGATGGTTTTTACGAACCACCAACCAGCACAGCCTACTTTAAGTAATTCCACAATGTCGCCTTCACGCATGTTGACTTCACTGTTGCCTACCGCGCAGTAGTCCGCCAGCGCCGCATACCGGCCGCTCTAGTAAACAAAACACAATCCACATGACAAAACATCTTGTTTTAAGATAATAAAAACATTAAAAAACAATTATTTTTGTGTTAGTAAATCAAACAACGTGCACATCAATATAGTCCAAGTTAAAATATCGAAAAAAATCAAAAAACAAGAGAATATTAATTTTTAGATTAGAAAAACAATCATTGTGCTATGAAAATATACAAAACATGAAACATTCACGTCGTATAAGATAAAAAATTCCGTCAGAATGATTTTTTGGTTATGTACACATTGACATTCGCCATAACATGACAAAGATTTATATATATTATAGGTTAGAAAACAGAAAATAAAATAAAATCGTTGAAAACTTACGACTGGCGTGTGTGTGTTATACGAATTTATGATTAATATAATAGAGATTATTGATATATTTGGGATGAGATTATTTTTAGTAATTGGAAACGTAAAACGTCGACGTGTGCGCGCCGGCGCCGACAAAGAATTGCGTTAACCGACCCTTCACAGCCTCCGCCCACTGCAATGATAAACAGACCACAGATACCCAAAATTAAATTATAAACAATCGTCTGTACAGAGAGACAAAAAGCGTCATCAAGCGTAAACGTAAATTATTTGAAATTCAATAATGATGAATCATATATTATATTGACAAGTGATAAGTGAGGTTAGTTTTTATTATAATAGAAAGTATCATACCGGAATGGCTGGATTTGCATCCTCATCATCACTGTTACTGAAATCCGATGACCAACTATTTCCTTCGGCGGATTCAGTGACGTCGTCTTCATTTGTACGTGAATCCACGTCTAAACTCATCGCCCGGGGCATTGTGGGATCATTATTGAGGTTAGATACTTGTTGACGTGTCTCCCATGATGTGGTTTGCCTTAAATGTCTTCATAAATTAATTTTAAAACAATTTTACTCGTGTTTAACATCAACTTACTTGTGTACCAATGCTGTGTATTGTTTTATCTTCTCTCCTTTGAGTTCTTCGAGTTGATTCAGTAATACTCTCTTGATTCCATTAACCCATTCTTGTTTTTGATCCAATGTACTTGCTTGTATTGTGTATACTTCTTGTCTTGCTTGTAGCCATACTTCGAATTTTTTTCCGTCGCCTTTGACGCTTTCTGTCAATCCTATCTGCGACATTTTTAAGTAATGTTTGAATTGAAAGTGGTTCTTATTATGTGTGTTCTTCGCTGATGGTTTACAGAATAACATTGCTTTCTGGTATAGAAAGATGTGTCTCTGCATTGGTTTGATGCGTAGTCTGATGTCTTTCTTGTTTTCCACCCAGACTGAGAAGGAACCTTGAAGGAGTAAGTCTCCTTGTTGAGCTAAGTCAAATGGGAAGCCAGTTATGCTGATTTGAAGCATTGAATCGTTGACACATTTGAGGACTTGCAGCATGCATTCCAGGGCGATTTGGAGTTGTTTGTAGCTTTGGGAATCGTCGCAGTACTTGAGGAGGTCGGCGATGAGGAGTTGGTATTTTGTGATGCGTTGGACTGGTTTTAGGAGATATGCGGCTAGTGGTAGTTTGTGGCCGAGTTTCAGCTGACACATTTGGAAAAAGTGACTGTGGTCTACGATGGTTTCACGGAGAGATTCAGAGCGGGGGATGTTTTGACAGTAGAATGCGTAGAGTTTGTTAAAAACATCTTTCTGGAAATTTTTAAAGAAAAAATTAATGTGACTTAAGTTAAGTCATGTTTTAAAAATGACTTAAGTCAAGTTAAATTTTTAAAATGACTTAAGTTATGTCAAATATTTATAAAAAAAAACTCTTAAGTTAAGTCAAGTTTTTAAAATGACTTAAGTTAAGTCAATTTTTTAGTGACTTAAGTTAAGTCATGTTCTTTTTAATGCTTACTTTTTGTACAAAACACAATGCGACCAAATCAATTGAAGAAATACAATTTTCCAAGTCTTTTAAAAAGACATTCGCGTGAAATTCGTGGATTTCTTCAATATTACCAAAAACCACGTCCAGTTTTTCCAAAAGCGTAGGCGGGACCAAATTGTAATTATCTTTGGCCAATGCTTCATTCCTATAACCCTGAATTATAAAAAATATTTATTGTTTTTTAAAATTATTCTAAAAAACATAAAAATTATGTTTAAATGTGATTTAATATGTTTTTAATTACCATGATGACGGAAGCAAGTTCAGTGACATAAATCCGTTCCGTCTCGAGCAACTCGCCGAGGACATGTCGCTGTTTAACGCGTTGAATCTCATCCTGCGGATCAAATTCATTCTGCGACGAGTCCGTAAACTCACTTGTGATGGAATTTGTCCCGGCGCTTAGTTCCATCTGGAAATTATACATTAAGTTAACTTTAATTAAGTCTAGAGTAAATGAATCCCATGTGAAAATTCACGCTCAAATTTTAAATTTTTTAATTCTTAATTCATCTTTATTTCCGTCTGTGTGCTGTTTCTGTTGAGAAATTTGAGTAATTTAAGTCAGTGTATGTAATTATGCGCATATGACTTAAGTCGGAACCGGCTTGCCGTGCTACTCGTACAAAGTTCACGCAACAGATGATGCCGAAATTCCACTTTTGAGAGCCCAAATTTTGGCTTAACTTAAGTCATGTTACGTTGACTTAAATTGCGCATAAAAACGATATAAAAAATATTCAAAAATCGATGATCTAATTTATGACACAATCAAAATTCTTTTGGCTACTGGTCTTGTTTTATTGACACACATTTTTTTGTTATGTAAAAATGAGATTAAATTATTTTTATTATTTTGAGGATTGAATAGATTTAATAGGTTTAAAAGTATTTCGCATATTTTTAGTGCTCTATATGTTGTCCTAGATGTTTTTCCAATTCATCGGTTATTCAATAATGATGTTTTTAAGCTAATGAAGCAGATGAAGACTATTCTACTGTTCGAATGTATTCTTTAATGAAGCGTGGCGTAATTAAGTGAACGGTGAATCTGTTATGCTTAAAACTGGCTTGACTATATTATTACTTAACCTTTCTAAAAATATATTGTGTATCAGACTGTGTTTTGTCCGTGACTTTGATAAAAAATTGAATAATTAATTACTTTCTTCTTATTTTGGGCATGTTGTATGCCAAATTCGTAAATAAAATTCTTAAATTTAATTAAAAGAAACGGGAAAGGTTAATAATTGAATTTAACGCCATCTGGATTCAAATTAAATAACTAAAACTATGAATAAATCTCCATATCAACTTTCATCCTTTATTTTACCCCCTAAAAGTTAATTTTTTGCAATAAAAAGTTACCTATTTTATTTTCCTTCATTAAAACTATCTCAATACCAAAATTTGTCAAAATTACTTCAGTGGTTTTTGAGTAAAAGCGACACAAGCAAACAAAAAAATTAAAATTCACATTTTTACTATCAGTTACGTGAACAAAATAAAAACTTTTCTGTGAATAAGAAAGAAAATGAAGTATAATTTCTGCTTTTTGACTTTTTTAATTGAATGCTTGACTGGACATTGAATCTGCGCTGATGACCGCTGATGATACAAACATCTAGAGCGCGAAAGATACGAGTAACTGCACCTTTCACGGCGTAGATTCATTGCAAATTGCAGATTGCAGCAACATTGAAACAGGAAGTACAAAGTACGTACACCAAAGTAATAGTAATAGTAATTGAAATCTGATTGATATTAGATTAGCATTGATCTCCTTATCCTTATTCATACATATTCATACATATTCATAGAGAAATGTATCTGTGTCCGTATATCCTAGATACATCCAATATAGACATAAATATTTTTATTTTTATTTTGCAATTTTTATTTATTTTTATTTTCTTATAATTTTTACGCTGAGAACAAAATAATCTGAATTCGCACTGATTCTCACAGATACTTCCGCCGAAAGTAGTATTGTATAACTAGGTGAACAGATTATTATCGAGAACCGAAATATAAACAATAAAAGTTCAAAATTCACGGAAATATAATAAATATAATCATCTGCGGAGCAAGGAGCGAATATAACAACCGGTTCTGATTAGTTAACTTTAGTATAGAATAAAATATTCTTAAAATGTTAATAAGTGTGATAATAGGTAATATATTCATGGGAATTTTTGTTTAAATTACATTTTTAACACTTTATGTTTAAAAAAATGTCAGCTGTGGAGTAATAGTGGGTTATTTTCAAATTTACAGTAAACAAACGGAAGAATTGAGGAGAATTCATTCGTAAAACTATTTTTAATAAGTAATAAAAATAAAAATAAAAATATAAAGTTGTTTACTGGATAACTATAATTTAAAATTGAATAATTCGAATATATTCATGAGAATTTTTAGGAATTTGATATTTTAGACATTTATATTTCAAAAACTGTCAAATCTGAATTGATAATTGATATATTATCAAATTTACAGTAAAGATATAAATGAATTAAAAAGAAATTATTCCTAAAAACGTTTTAAAACATAATAAAATAAAAATAAAAATATTTAGGTGTTAACCGGATAACTATAAATAAAATTTAAATAATTTTCATAGAAATTCATGACCATTTCTATTTAAATTGCTTTTTTAACTTTTATGTTTAAAAAAATATCAGCTGGTAAAGTAATAATTTAGTTATTAACAAATTTACAGTAAATAAACGGAAAAATAAAGAAGAATTTAGGCCTAAAAAACGTTTTTAAAAAATAAAACTTAAAAATAAAATAAAAAATATTTGATTTTTTACCGGATAACTATAATTTGAATTCGAATAATCCGACTCATGATCGTCCAGGAAATCGCAGTAAAAATCGCAGTGAGTTTTCCAAAACACTTCGCGTGCGTGCGACACTTTATAATTCATCATTGTTCATCAATATTTAAACTTTAATCTACATTTACACTACTTATTTAACACTTTAAACCTTTTTTTATATATAAATACACTTAAATCACTTAAATTTTACAAACAAAATAATTTTATTCGTTTTGATGTAATAAATGTTCACAACCTGCAGCTACCGTTCGTTGTATGTTTAACGCTTGACTTTTTTGGCAATATAAGAAAGTGCGACACGCGTGCGTACAAACAGGTTCGACTCAACAGCGCGACCGCGACCGCTTCCTCACTGAGTAGCTTCCAACGACTGAAAAGTTAAAGAGTCAAGAGTCAAGACTCAGACCACCTCCCATCCAAAACATTTTTCATCATTATTTAACTACGCATAAGACTTTACTTTATACTTTATAAAACATTACTTAAACATCAACACTAACACAAACACAAATGACTTAAGTTAAGTCAAGTTGTATTGACGTAGTTTATCTACGTACATCTCACCGGTGTATTTTTATCTAGCGCTGGCAGAAAGGTAAAAATCTCGTTTCCGCAGGACGAGCGCGCAAAAATGTTGTGCAACGGTGTAATAATTAATGTCCGTTCCGGCACGTTGCACGCTATGTGCAATATGGTGACCTTTCCACCATTACTGCGCACTGTAGCGTGAAACTTACAAAAACCTGCAATGGCACACATTTTACGGCCGTAAAGATGATAATTTGCAGAAAATGACACTACATAAATAATAAACACTCAACATAACCTCAAATTAATTTTTTCTTCTTCAAAAAATTTTTCTAAATATTTTAAGAGAAACTTGAATGATTTACTTGTAAATAATGATTTTCGCATGGATAACACTTGCGATTTCCACATGGATGCAAAATCCGAATGAAAAAACTGCGCATCCACGAAATTTCTCTTCTCGGCGACCAGTTTTCACCGCATTTTGCGGCGCGCAACTTTCTTTGCGGCATTGTTGCCTCTGGAATTTTTAACGGCCACGTGTGCACCGCCAGAACCTTATGTAATTTACAAAGCAATTAATCGTCATCATCAACGCTTCAGCAACAAAGTCACCGGCTTTTCATCTCATCTCTCGCGCGCGTAATTATTCATTATGAGGAAGAAAGTTAATTATCGAACATCGAATGGGCTGTGTTTAGAAACTCTTCTATGAGTAGGAAGTACCAGTAAATATATTGCATATTATATTTATGACTTACTAATTGAAACTTGAAACACAAATTAATTCCTTTCATATTTTTAATTTTTGTTATTTTAATTTTAATTTTAAAAAGAAAAAAGTGTATAATGTATTTTATGAGCTATTATACAATAGATGGCGTTAGTATTATGTTGATTAATAATGATTTCACTTACTTTAGTCGGTAGAGTGTTTTGTTTCTTCACATGAACGCGATGTGGCATCGGCGCGCCGATCGAAGGCTGCCGCGGCATAGATGGCGCTGATGTCGGGTTGACAGTCTGCACGGGGCGTGGCGGCGGTGTTGTCACTTTGCGTAGACTCTGTATACGTTTATCACACATGTGTGAAACATCATCCAAACGTTGCAACACCTAAAAAACAAAAAAAAAATCATTTTAACCTCAAATAACCTCAAAAAACCTCTCATAACCTAAAAATAAAAATTTTATTACCTGTGTAACCAATGCTTTAGTTTCCGGCGTGATAGACTCCTCGAAAATGCGTTTGAAATCCTTATCAACGGTCGCAATAAACAACTGTATCTCAATCAGTGATTTTTCGGCGTGTTCCACAGATGACGAACACTTTTCGATGCTTTGCGAAGCTAATAACTCCACGCCCTTCGCACACCACTCGTTCGCCTGCAATTTTCACCATTTAATGAATCACATCTTAATTTATTAATCTACGGGTTGATGTAGGGACAACGCCGCGTTGGAAACTGAATTTCAGTATCAGTTTCAGTTTTACATTGGAAAACTTGCATAATACACGCAGGCGTGAATTCTATACAAATCAAAAGCGTTTGTTATCCATGATAACTAATCACATGGATGTCACTCAACGTCCGTTGTCATTATAATAAATACACATTCATTTTGACATGCATTCTCGGTCCCCCAACATCAAAATAAAAACAAAATCAAATAATAACTCACTTTTTCAATTTGTTCCATCAGATCCCTGCACTTGGTCAATGCCTCCACGCGTTTATTAAGTCTCATCAGGAGGATTTCTCTTACTCTGACAAGTTCATTACACTTGGGTTCCACACACTCCAAAGGGCATGAATTTGTTATGCCTAGTAATTGCTGACCGCTTGCGATTACCTCTTCGGCTCTTTCAATATCCACTGAACATAATTTTTGAAATGATTGGGTTTCTTTTAATAGTGTTTCAACACGTGTTACTGTTTCGCCTATTTCACACATTTCTGATACAGTTTTCATATGTGAATCGAAATTTATTTGTAATTCACGAAAATCTTGCTCGAAACGCCGTAAATTCAAACAATGTCGTAGTTTTGTTGAGTGATCAGACCAGAATTCATCAAAAGTTTTTTCTGTTTCTTCTAATTGCACCAGGAGTCTTTCTACGGCGAAAACATTACTTAAAGTATGCGTAGCGTGATTAAACACTTGCGAATCAGGATTTTTGAATGATTTTTCTCGAATGTTGTTGAGTAAATCTTCGCCGTGTTTCGCAGCTGATATAATCTCATCTTTAAGCTGTGAATATTCAATTGATTGTGTGTTTAGTAATTGTTGTGTTGAATCCACGTTATTCGGGAATTCTGTTTCGGAGATTTTCTTTGTGAAGTCGTCTAATGCGTTGGAGACTTCATGTGTTCTCGTTGAGAATTTTTCCAGCGCCTGATAAAAAATTTTATTTTGTAAAAGAAAAATTTTTATAGCGGTTTCAAACCGATAAATCGCAAGTGACAATCAATTGCAGCCGGTGAACCTGTCTCACCGTTAGGCGCTGATCGACCGCGGAATAGAAAGTACAACGGCATTGCAACATTATATTACGAGTACATTACATTCCGCTATGTGCTGTGTTTATAAAACTATTAATTTTCGTACCACTCGTTGGTCTATCCAGCCGATGTGGTCGTATTGTAAGACGCCTCCGAGGTCGGGTGTGAGTTGGGTGATGTCGACGTATTCGTGGAGCTCTTCGGCGCTGCCGAGGACTATCATGCGGAATTTGAAGTCGTCTTTGAAGAGTTTATTGCTCACCTCCGAGATGGCTTTTTGGAAGAAGCTTTCGGGGCGGAGGACGTATACGACGTGGATTAGACCCGGAAAGTAGACCTGGAATATATTTTGTTTTAATTTAAAAAATTGATTTTTTGGGGAAAAATTGAATATATTTTACCGATATTTTTAGAAGGACTGTTTTTACTGAATTCCATCTGTCTTTTCGTCGGTCTATTATTAAATGGAAACCTAAATCGGCTTCTTGTAATCTGAAACCAAAAAAATATTTTTAAAATTGATATTTGCGATAATAAAAAAACTGTTTTGTTTTATTTTTATGGCCATAATATGCGGAATAAATTTATCTTTGATTTGATATATTTACCAAAACTGTGCGTTTATTATTTTTGGAGATATTGCAATTTTTTTAAACAAATTTATAGATTTTCTCAAAAACTTATGAATTAAATCACACTAAAAGTAGTTAAAAGTTAAGTTTCCCTTAAAAATAAACAATAATAATTCAAAATTTAATTTAGTTTTTTTGTTATTTTTTCTGAATTTAATTTTTTTTTTTGATTTTGGAAAAGAATTTATTGTCAAAAATTGTAATTTTTCTTGAAATTTCCTCTTAGAAGATTGTCAAATGAAAATATCAGTTTAAAAATATTTATCATTAGAAAAAAACTTAATTTTTATCAAATTTTTGCTTAAGAACCCGCAAATTATTCATTTTTTCAATAAAAAAAAACATTTTAAACTTACGAAGGTACTGAGATCATATATAACATAAGCCGCTGATAGTCGACTTCACTCAACAGGTTAAAATTGTTCTGATCCGGGAAAGTAATCAACGGGCAGCCATCTTTCGACCGCCCGCCGGTGATAATCGCGAATTGCGGATGCAACAGATCGGCGACATCGTCCACACAGAGTCGTTCCGCTGGCGCGGCGTTCTGCATCTCAATCTCTTCAAAAGACGTCTCCGATTCATCTGCACAACAACAGAAAAACATCACTTTTAGATCCACACACACAAACACACATAAACCCAAAAAACACAAATAACACAAAATGGCCACCGTCGTAATAAAAACATATTCAACTAGGTAAACATACGATAAACACAAAAAATGATGATGTTACCATTCGATTGGAACATCACGTCCGTCCGCTGATGACTGACGCATACCTACAACTTACCAAACAAACTCTCGTGTGTTAAAGTTTAAACAAACGTCACGCGACGAACGTGCACGATGTGGTTGTTATTGCATATTGCATTAGGTAACAATTTAATTACAGTAAAAGTAAATTCGTTGCAAAATTATAGATTTGATTCGATTTTCGATGCATTAATGTGGAGTTATTCGCGCTTCGTAGTTCGATTTCGATTGTTTCTGATGAACTGAACGAGAATCAACTGTGTCCATTGTGTTTGCCCACTTTCGGGCCATTGTTTGCTTGTGATTTCATGGTTATCATGGTAGCGAAATTCGCTGATAAGTTATTCGTTATTCACAATCGACAAATATGCTGGTATACTGCACACGTACATTCCGCGATCAATAATATTTCATTCATTTCATTATTATAAGCATTAAAAAGTTAAAAATTGAGGTTATGTAGGTATACAATACATACACAAACGCCACAATACTTATATTTGATTCATTTCAAACGTAATTCAAACAAATCACTACGAAATGGTACAAAATTGTTTGCGACTAGTACAAAAACGAAAAAATCCTTCATATTGGCATTTATATCCGACTGAATGTAAAAGGTGTGTGTTGAGCATTCGCCATCGTCGTGACGATATTCCCTTGTTCATTTATCACATATCCATTCGTCAACTGATACGAGAATGTATTCGCCGCGGTGTTACCATTGATTATCTGCTGTACAGGCGTGACAATAAACGCCTGTGGTTGTGAACCACCTCCATCGGGTGCCACAACCAGAGGTATCACTTGTTGGACATCATTACTAATCACACACTTTTGTATTTGAATGTTTTGTGTCTCAACACCAACAGGGACAGGTACAGGGACATTTACAGGTTGAGTTTGGACTTGTACTTGTGTTTGTGGAGGTGGAGGTGATTGTTGGGTTGCAGGTGTATTCTGGGGTTGTGATTGAGGTTGTGTAGGTGCTGCGGGTATAGGAGGTTTCGGTTCAACTTTGGAAAACTTCACATGAGGAAACTGCTCTTTCATAAAATGCCTAAACGTTGAATATCCCATCAATTTAATCCCAGGCTCCAATATTTGACCATATTCCTTATAGGCATCATGCAGGTTCTTCCTGGTGATATCCCATGGTAATTGTATGGGTTGTTTGGAACTACAAATACCAACAGCTCCGGTATGTTGTTCCATGTATTGTTTTAAGAATTCCGTCGCATGGCGATAGATATCCAATGAAAAAGTATTATGAGGTTTCTTCCCATGGTTCCCATGCACCCTGGGTGCCACCCCATGGGTCATCACATGTTTACGTATTCGTTTCAGTTGATAATGCGTGCAATTCTCGAGATATAGAAACGCATCCAGACATACTCTACGTCCCTGGTAGACATATTGTGCCCTCAGTCTTCTTCTTTCCTTTTGTCTTACAGTTGTGTCTGGATTTGCTAGACATGCCATTGTTACACCCATGAGATACATGTCATGCTCACCCTTTGTTAACTCAGCTATATTCAGTCTGTGTTTGTATACTGTTTCCGGGTTCAGACCCATGAAACATCTCTCATCTTGACATTCACATCCTCGTTTGAATCTTTCTTTTACCTGCGCAGCACTTGTTTCCAACTTGGTGGGATCATTCGCTTCGTATAAAGCTTCATCAACTTCATTTGGTGATTTCTTCTTCTTTTTCAGAGGAGATTTGATTTTGGGTCTTCTTATTGGTGCTTTGGGTTTTATTTTCTTTTCATCTATGATTTCAACTTCTTCTTCTTCGATTAATTCTTCAGAATCTGCTTTGTTGGATATTTGTTGATTGGTGTATATTGATACTAATTGTGGTGATTCTTCAATGTTATCTTCCCAAATTACCTTTAAAAATGTTTAGAATTTATTTATAAAAAGTTGATAAGGATTAGTTTTGTTTGTCTTACTTGGTGTTCATCAATAGCCTGTTGATACTGTTCATTGGTGAATAGTACAGGTGTAGTGGTCCATTGAACTTCTTGACCATTTTCATTGGTTGTAATAAAAGTCTCATGTTTATCAATTTTCTCGAGTCTTTCGACTGATAACAGCGAATGCAACACTTCGCTTGCTTCTTTTTCGGCACTATCAACTTGTTCCATCATTAAATACTTATTTATTTACATCCGCATTAATACTGCAAAAATTTTTGAATTTAAAAAAAGTTTCGTTTATTTCCCAGTGCGAAATTGCGTTAATCTTCCGCCATAAAGACGAGATTCGCAACCGTGCGCCAACCAACAGACAATATTCAGCCGTATTGCTTCGAATGCGTCTTACCTTTAAATCTCTCCTGTGCGGGAATTACCACAGGATGAGAACAGGAAGCCGTCGAGAGCGATGCACCATTGCAAGCGCTACGCAATGCGCCAAAAGAGATTCGTCTTCGCGCCGAAGAATACCGTTAATTTCGTCGAAAACCGGACCATAACATTCAAGCGCCTATGGTTTGGCCGCGGTGCCAAGCAAGATGGACGCCGTAGACACCAACTCTGCCCCTCCTCATCAATTCGTGATAAGTTCTACGCGTGCGCCATCTTTATACCGCGAGTTTTCAAAAAATTTCACCAAAAAAAAAATGGTAACACGGTACCCATTCAATTTACCACTTACCAGGTTGATTAGGGTCTGGGTCAAGATAAGACCCTCTGGCGATGATGTGCGCGGTGGATTCCTCCATGACTTTCGAAGCGCTGATTTTGAATTGCTCCAGGAAGCAGTCAATTTGCTCCTCGATGCTTGGCTGGTCAGCCATTGACTTCACACTTCTTTACACTTCTCACATCTCACTAGTTGTGTTCAGATTGTTGTGTTAAACAAAACAATTCGGGTTTTCTTTTAGCACCACGCCTACACGACACGCACAACAATCACATCTCACTTGATACCAACTGTAGCTGGGAGAGGAAGTCAGGAGGAGTCATCCACGCTGCCAAAACTGCACTCTGCTCCAATCATGCGACATTTGTGCCTGTGTACAACTATCACTATATTTATACACTGTGTGTGTGTATTGGGTCTTTATGGGTCTTCCTACTTTGTGATTTTTTGTCCCTTTGTTTGTGTGTGTGTTGATTTGATCGCGTGTATACAATCATACGGTAATGGTGTCGCTTGTTTTCATTCGATGACTGTTGTAGCACTAACTGTCTCATTAAAATACTCGCTTAAAGTCTATAAGTAAATTTTATCAAAAAGCTCGTCGCAAGGTCGTCGCGCACCAGCGTGAAACATGTGTGAAACGTCATTCGGAAGTCGTTCGGGAGGGTGCGTTAGGGGATGGATTTAGGGCGCATGCGTTACAACCCTCGACAACCCCACAGGTTGTGACAGAAATTTTCTTAGAGGTAAAAAATGTGTTTTTTGAAAGTTTTTTGTTAATAACTCGAAAATTATAAAAGATAATTGAATTATTATTTAAACAATTTAATCTATATTAAATTCTGAATTTTTTAGTAGAAAATATATATTGTTATCTCTTTTTAATCAAAAGTTATAAGCATTTAAAATTTGTTTTTGTAAAAAAATATAAAATTTTGACTTTAATGCCCTATAATTATTTGTTTATAAACGTTATAAACAAAATATTTTCATAGTTCAATGCAGAATTTAATTCTTTATTAATCTACGTTTTAATCATTTTGATATCACGTTTAGTTTATGAGTTATTCATCAATAACCGATAACGTTTTGTTTACTTTTCACAACCGACGCGTGTAAACTGTTAGTAGATAAAAAGATACACACAGGCAACTCTCATACATACAAATGATGACAATTTTGTCCCTCTGCAAAAAGAGGGAATAAACTGATGTGACTGCAGTGGGGTCAACATTCTATTAATGTACATATATTCATACAGTCATAACCTTCAAATGATACTAATCTAACCTTAAAATAAAAATAAAAAATTTACTTACATAAATTACTTAGGTTATGTCATGTTATCACTGATGAACAATATAATAACTACTAAACATTGTGCGTTGAATTTCATTCCAGCTCATGTGCCTCACCGCAAACAATTCTGAGGTTAAGTTTGCGTAACATGATAAAAATGTAATACGATAAGCAAACACAATCAAGGCAATGTATCCAAACAAAGTGTTAATGTATCCATACGTCTGCGATAGATAAAAAAACATTTTGGCAGTTATTTCGAGGAAATCCTTGACTTGCATTAAGTTAAGTCGGTTATGTCAAGCGCCAGCGTCCTCAATTTTTATTTTAAAAATAAAAACAACTTATAACTTAATATTTGAATGTATAATGTATCATAAGGATACATAAATATGACTTAAGTAACTTGCAGATTTTTTAAATTTATTTGCGTGTGTATTTTAAGAATGTCTGCGTTTGGCATTGCCATTGCGAATTAAATGCGACGAGCTAAACAGCCAGACCTTACTCATCCCATCACATCAGTGAAACGAGATAGAATGTGTACGTAAGCTAATAATAACATGCACATGCGCGCATAGCTCAAGCCGCGACGTGTTTTACACACACGCTAGTTTTCCGAGTGTTGATTACCGACAGTCGCGATCGGTCGCGACGCAAAACACGCACGCCACGCAGCGTGCCTCAAGTTAAGTCAAGTCACTTTCAGTCTTGTGCGAATCTTCCTCAAGGAATCAAGTACTAGAGTTACATTACTTTATTTTGACGATACATCTGAGTAAAATAAAATCAAAACAACTTGACTAAAATGGGTGGTAAGTGGTTTAAATTACATATTATGACTTAAGTCACTTACACATACATAATTTAATGATTAGATGTAGATTGAGATGTAGATTGTGATTAATTTTTTTATCGATGACCTTATGACCTCTAAACATTAACTCTAATCACTAGTAAAGTGACTTAAGTTAAGTCATGTTGAGTTAAGTGCATTCTGCAACCGGTTTCGAATTGCCGATCAATGAACCGTAAAGTTTATTCAAGAGGATAATATTATTAGGAATATACCTGTAACATTGACCTTAACTTAACTATGATAACATTAACCTAAAAATAATAAAATAATAAACATTTGGCATTTGAACGGGTATTTTTAGATTTACGGCGTTATTATTTTACGTGTTGACGTCTTCCTGTTTTTATTGCAGCGTACGCCTGGGTGACTTTAGCCACCAACGATTCCTATTCGTTGGGAGCTTTGGTTCTGGCTCATTCTTTGAAACAAGCTGGGACCACTCATCGTCTTGCTGTTCTTGTAACTCCTGGTGTTACAAATTCAATGAGGTAATTTTAAATCACAAAAAATAAAAAACAAAAAATTTTGTTTTGAATTTACGAAGAAAAATAGTTTTTCTTAAAATAAATCATAAAACTTATCCGGTTTGTATTTACAACGCAATTCCACGCAGATTTTTGGCATTCGGCGTGTATTTTAAGAACGAATGCAAATGCGTAGTTAAAAGCTTTCCAACACACGCATCGCGGCCGATCACATCGGTGATGCCCGCCTGTTCGGAATTAGATTCGCATTTTCGCGAGCCAACAAAATGGCCATCAAACAAAAAATCAACAAAATATTCTATTAATTAATTTATTTCCATCTGAATCTCAACAGACAAAAACTAGCAGGCGTATTTGACTTGGTTCAAGAAGTGAACGTCTTGGATTCAAAGGATGAAGCAAATCTACGTCTTCTAAAACGTCCAGAATTGGGCATTACCTTTACCAAGCTGCACTGCTGGCGACTCACGCAATTCGAGAAATGCGTCTTCTTGGATGCAGACACTCTGGTATGCTTTTATTTCGCTATAAATTTAGACTGTGATATAATTAGATGTTTCTTCAACTTCTCAAAGCCAAGTTCACACAACAACTAATTCTGTGTATTTATTTCTCTTAGGTGTTGAAAAACGCTGATGAAATCTTCGAACGTGAAGAATTCTCGGCTGCGCCTGATGTAGGATGGCCAGATTGCTTCAATTCCGGCGTTTTTGTTTATAAACCATCGAATGAAACTTATGATAAACTCATAGACTTTGCTTTATCTAAGGGTAGTTTTGATGGAGGTGATCAGGGTTTGCTTAATTTGTATTTTAACGATTGGGCACACAAGGACATCAGTAGACATCTGCCATTCATCTATAATATGTGTTCTACTGCTTGCTATTCGTATCTGCCGGCATTCAAACAGTAAACATGATAAACATAACCTTAAAATAATAAATTAACCTTATTTTTATAATTTTAAAGGTTTGGAACTGATGTAAAAATTGTCCACTTTATTGGCGCTACGAAACCATGGTTGCAATACTTTAACACTGAATCCAAGCAAGTACAACCCGGAGGTGACATGTCACACCTCAAAGAAGTCCTTCAAAAATGGTGGGATATCTTCTGTAACCTTGTACATTCAAATCTAACATCAGAAATGGTAATTTTTTAGTTTTTCATTTTTTTAAAGTTAAAATTTGTGTTTTTGTATTTTGAGGTTATGAATTGCATGGCTATTAATATGCGCACACCGCACGATTATTTACGTCTGTGTGAGAATGTCAAGTCGTTAGAGCGACGCATTTAGCCGCCGTACGGTGCGATGAACTCTCGGCAAGATCAAAGACAGATCTTGACATATGCATAGGCGTAAATAATTTTATTGCACACTTCTCTCTTTTGCTGTACATGATTTCTCTCTGTGTGTTTTATTTTCTTCTGTGCACTGCATGATGTGTGTGTATACACAGCACCTGCCGCCGGCGATCGCACATAACCTCAACGCGTCCGATCACAGAGACGTCTGGGATCCGTGGGAGGATTACATACCTGATGCACAATTCGAATCTCACAATACAAACGCACAACATTCCATTATAGACATTCCTGATGAATCATTATTATCACCAGAACCTAAATCAGCTTTAGAATCACCTCGAATTTCATCTCCTACAGATGATGTTGTTGAAGTTAACCCTACTTTTGACCTACCACCAGTTATCCATGTTGATCTCACCTTAGACCATATTGAATCTCCTGAAAGTCCATCTTCTGATTCTGTTAGTCCCTATGAACTTGTAAATATTGCGGATGATACTCCTGATGTCCAAGATGTGGAAGATGTAAGTACTTGTGTCAATAATCAACATCTCAGGCATGCTTGCACTACATAACCTAACTTAATATCTATTTAAATATGTTTAAAACTTTAAAAATTAATTTTTTGGTTTTTAATATTTTTAGGGTGGTTTAGCGGGTGCGTTCGCCCAGTTTAATCTTGGTACACCAAGAAGTCAAGGTCAATCTGACCTGGAGGAACACTTGAGGAGGCAGTCATGGGAAGTGGGCAATATTGATTACATGGGACGTGATGCTTTCGACAAGATTTGGAGTAAGATCTCCGAGACGATCGCGACTCCGTCTGAGGGTGGGGCCAAAGGTACCAAATGAACACTTGATGACCATTACCAGCAGACTTCTTCTTCTTCTTCTGTTTCTTCTTCTTTTTTAGATGTGTTATTATTTCTTTTCGAACGTTTTTTAATAAGTTATGCTCTCTTTCCTGTTTTCTTTTTTATTGTTGCTTTTTTTTTTGTTTTGTTTTGTGACGTTTTGTGTGTGTGTTAACCTTTTTTTTACTGTAATGCAGAAGGTGAGGCACCTGCTACACCTGCTACTGAAGTGGTGACGACAGAGATTAAGTCTGAGGAGAAGGCGCCAGGTCAGTCGAGTGACAACCAGAGTGATACTGTTTGATTTTGTTCAGTTGTTTTATAATTTCGAATGCCATAATCATCAATAACATTATTTTTATATTTATATTTATTGTGTGGATTACACTAATTTATTTTTATCCTAACCTAGTTTTACCAGTTTTGACAGTGTGTGATCATTTAGTTTCTCTTTTTTTGTAAATATTTAAATTGAATAATTTGATAGTGAAAGAAGAAACTGCTGCGGAAGTTGTTAGTAAACCTGAAGGGGTTAAACCAGCTGAGGTTGCTGCTAAACCGGAAGTTGCTGCTGATAGTAAACCAGTTGAGGAAATTAAGTCAGAGGCACTTAAAGTTGATGAGGCTAAAGTAGAGGTATCAAAAAATGAAGAGGTTAAAGTGGAAGCTCCGAAAGCACCTGAAACTGAGGTCAAAACAATTGAAGCAGTTCCAACTGAATCACTTGTGGCTCCTGTAGTTACTGAAGCAGCTAAAACTGAAGTGGAAGCTCCAAAAGTAGAAGAAATTAAAGCAGAAGTTCCAAAAACTGAAGAAGTTAAACCTGAAGCTCCGAAAGCTGAGGAAGTTAAAGTTGAGACACCTAAAGCTGAAGAAGCTATAAAATCTGAAGCTCCTAAGGTAGAAGAAACTAAAACGGAAGAGGTTAAAGTAGAAGCTCCAAAAACTGAAGAAGCTAAACCAGAAGCTCCTCAGCCCGAAGCTCCGAAAGTTGAAGAAGTTAAACCCGCAGCTGAGGCCCCTAAAGTTGAGGAAGTAAAACCTGAAGTTCCTAAAGCTGATGAAACTAAAGTAGAGGCTCCCAAAGGTGAAGAAGTTAAACCAGAAGCTCCCAAAACGGAGGAGACTAAAGTTGAGGAAGTCAAAACTGAACCAGTTGCTCCTCAAGCTGCGGAAGTAAAACCAGAAGTTCCTAAAGCAGAAGAAGTTAAACCAGAAACACCGAAAACAGAGGAAGTTAAAGTGGAGGCTGCAAAACCAGAAGAAGTAAAACCTGAAACTCCCAAAGTTGAGGAATCTAAACCAGAAGCACCCAAAACTGAAGAAGTTAAAGTAGAAGCTCCAGCAACTGAAGAGGTTAAAGCAGAGGCGCCTAAAGTTGAAGAAAGTAAAGCAGAAGCACCAAAAACTGAAGAAGCAAAACCAGAAACTCCTAAAGTTGAAGAAGTTAAGGTAGAAGTTCCTAAAACAGAAGAGGTGAAAGTGGATGCTCCAAAATCTGAGGAAGCTAAACCTGCAGAAGATAAATCTGCTGAAGCTGCAACAGCAGCAGAACCTCCCAAAGCAGCTGAAGAGGCAAAAGCTCCTGAAGCTATTCCAGCAGTAGCTCCCAGTGAGGCTAAACCAGAAGTTGTAGCAGAAACAAAAGTAGAGACTCCAATTGAATGTAAACCTTGCGATAAACCAGCAAGTGCTGAAGCATGTCCGAAATCGGAAGCACCTATTGCGGAACCTGCACCAGAACCAGCGGCAGTGTGTCCAAAAGCAGAATGCACAGAAAAACCAGCTGAATGTCCAAAAACTGAATGCCCATTAAAGAAGGAAGAACCTACTGTAGCTGAGTGCCCTAAAACCGAATGTCCACTAAAGAAGGAAGAATCATCTCCAGTCGAATGTCCCAAGACTGAATGTCCATTAAAGAAAGATGAATCATCCTCAGCTGAGTGCCCAAAAACTGAATGTCCTTTGAAGAAGGAAGAATGTCCCAAAGAAGCATGTGCTACTGGTGAATGTCCAGTGAAAGCTGAATGTCCTAAAGAGGAATGTCCCAAAAAGGAATCTCCTAAAAAAGAAACTTGCCTTGTGACGGAATGTCCCAAGGAATGCCCCAAAAAGGAAGCACCCAAAGAAGAAGTTTGCCCTGTGACAGATTGTCCTAAATCCGAAACACCCGCAGTTGCAGCTGAAGAACCAAAGAAAGAAGAACCTGCACCAACACCTGAAACTCCCAAAGAACCAAAAGAAACCAAAGAACCCCCAAAACTAGACACATCTGCAACAGCACCCGCACAACCCGAAGTACCAGCAACACCCGAAGTAATTGCACCCACACCCCAACAACACCAGCTGCAACTACTGAAGCCCCTTCTGAACCAGCAGCATTGGAAGCAACACCCTCTGTACCGGAAACGCCTCCCCCAGCTGCAGAAACCTCTTCCGAACCGGGAGAAGGCGCACCTGTACCCCCACCGCGCAAATCCTCTGGCGCCAAGAAACCCAAATCTAAAAAGTAAACAAACACTCATAGGTTTGTATCATTTATCATTTTTCACAAACTATTTCACTCTTATCACTTTTGTTTTGTCTTCTAATCTAATCTTCATTCATCACACGTATATAATCTTCATCATTTCAAAGTTTCAAATAAAGTTTGTCTTCTGAATAGTTGTTTTATTTATATTCTGTAATCCAAAACAAAATGACGTTTAAAATATTCAAAAAAACATTATAAAAAATAAAGCTTATACCACGTGAACATAGGCAACTTATTCTACACCGAAGAGATATGTAAAAGCTCAGTATCAAAGTGGAGCCACCTCAGTCGAGCTGCGTCGTTTAACAAAGGCGGTGAGAAGCAAAACTCATCCGGATGTGGCCGAGTGAAACACGACTTATCACCTCCACGATCGGTGGTTTCCCCACAGTCCCAACACTTCCAGCCAGTGTTCGCATGTTCCCATGAAAAATTACTCATTCGTTACCGCACTCACACAGCGCACTTCGTTCCCATCGTGTTGAGTCAATCACAATCACTGCCAGTAGTGAGTGTGTGTATTGAGTGAGTGTACTAACCGTACTAACATTCAATGATAGCGTCCCGAGCACACAAGTGTGAAATGCGGAAAATCGCGAATTATTTTTAACCACCGAGCGCGCTGATTTAGGACATGGGATTCTGCACCAGCAGAAAGTTATTGCTCACAATCTGCATTCTCCAACTGGTAAATACACAATTATTACATAAAAACATATAATAAAGGTTAAGTTGTGTTTCATTTGTTTTTGTTGCAGTTTGCACTATGTGAGAGGCAAGTTTTTGAGTTTTTGGGTTTTCTATGGATACCAATACTCTTAAACTTTCTGGAAATCATCTTTGTCATATTTGGTTTCTTCGGTGCATATCAGTACAGACCCAAGTACATTGCCTCAGTAAGTTTATAAATATCCATCAATAACATTGAGTGTAACTGAAAATATTTACATTTTAGTATCTAATATGGCATATTTTATGGTTGGCATGGAATATTTACATCATTTGCTTATATTTGGATATTGGTGTGCTCGATCACAAGGTAACTCATTAATTTTGTTTATGTTTTACATATTTTACAAGTTTCTTATTTTTAGCAAAGCGGTGTAATCAAAATTGATCAATGGAGTGAAAGCTGGTGGGTGAAAAATGGCCCTGGATGCAGAGTGGAGTTAAATGTGACACATCCACACCCATCACTAGAAAATGTAGTCAATTGTTATGTGGATTATCGTTATGTGGAGATATTTCAAGCTGGGCTTCAAACAACACTAGCTGTATGCAAAATTTGGTGAATTTTTGAATAAAAATATTAATTTTTATGTTTTTAGTTACTGGGACTCATCACAGGTTTCTGCCTGAGCAGAACTTTTCTCGAGGAGGATGACAGTTGTAAGTTTTTCAAAATTTAATGCTTTCCACACTTTGTTGACCTTGTAAATTGTGTAATTGTATTTTGAAACTAACGCTAGTTCAGATAGCAACGTTATAACTTCATAGTCAAAGTCGTTTAACAACTCATTACATCTTAAATCTTCATCGATTGCACTATCTTGCCATTTGCAGTTGATTTCATTGGTGGATTTGAGTCGCAGACTAAGTAAGTGGTAAGTGCTTGGGGATTTTATTCATCTTACATTCTTCATATGCACACAAACTGTTTTTATTTCCGCTTTTTTTATTAATTTAAATTTGGTTTGTGTTGTTTTTGTTCGTCTTGCGCTTGTTGCAGTTGTAACGCGGTGATTGTAGTATGTAGAATTTCTCTTTATTTATATTTTCAGTCGATTACGTGGGCGATAAGAATCCCTGCCCTAGGCAATTGCAACCAATGTACGTGGAAAAGCGCGTGCCGCCATTTTGCGCTCTAACACCGCTAACGGCGCGCCGCGATCCGTTCGTCGACGGCGATGCGCTCGCCGACGACGACGACTTTAATCGCTATTATTGCTCCGCGGCCACCACACGCGTCCATCACCAGCCGGTGATGCGCATGCAGAGCTTCAAAGGCTACGAGCGCACCAGTTATAATTAAAAACACGAATATTTTCGGCGAAAATTGGTTACATTCACGCGCAGAACAAACTTTGGTTGTGAAATATTGAGATTTTAGTCTTCTGTGCCAAAGTTTTAATATAATAAACCATAAATGATTAATTTTATCGAAGTTCTACGTGAATGTAACTTGATAAATTTTATATTTGCTTCATACCAAAGCGAAAATGAGTCTATATTGTTTAGTCACTACGACAATGCATCTCTACACACATAACCTATTAATATATAATCTTTATCTTTTTGTAGCGTAGTTTAACCAATAATTCTCCGCATGTAATGTACTGATTAGTTCTAGTGCATGGTAGATTATAACTTATTTTATTTAATAAAATATTCAACACTCTGGATGATTTTCTGACATTTTTTGTGAAATTTTTCATTATTTTTGAGGTTGTGATGTGTGGTTATGTTACATATGTGTTGTATACTGATTGCTTTGGTTTCTCTAGCCTCACATAAGCGCAAAAATGCGAAGCGCATGTCGCTGTACTCGATTGAGTTCAGCCCGCAGCATGATCGTGCCGACAGCGACAGCAACGACGGCGACGCCCATCCAACGGCGATATCTCCGAAACCAATGACACCACGTCGTGTAAAACGCAGGAGTGTCATGCAGCGTGGTACCACCAGTCGGCATAGTACAACTTCTCGGCGACACAACAACCACTCCCACACGCATTCGCATACGAATCCACGTTCGTCCACGCGCAGCTCAAGGCGGAGCGTTGTGCAGAATCCCGTCACGCGATTGATTGATCAACAAGCCAAGATGGCCGCTGCTGCGTATGATCACTTCGACGTGCCATCTAGCAGCATGGATCTCAATTATCATGACTATCATATGCAAACTGGCGCGCCGGGTGGTAGTGTATCAACGAATAATCTTGTCGCACCACATTTACCACCTGGATGGTCGAGTAAAGGACACGCGAATCCAACGTATCAACAATCATCATCGCAAAGTCTTAACGAGCATGATGATTTCGATGAGTTGTATACGAATAGGCCGCCGTCGGCGCGTTCCAGTTATTCTAACTTCCATGGCACACGCGCGATAAGTTATGCGCATGCGCAGCAGCCGCCGTATCCGCAACACCCGCAGCATACGATTGATCGCATGGCGCATTCGCAAACCGCGCCGCAGCCGCAAGTACCACAGAAAATGAACACGCATCGTGGTAGTTTAAGGTCGAAGGCGTTTTTGAATAATGGCCCGCCTGCATATACGCCGCACGGCCATGCTCACAATCACACGCATGCCCACAACCACCATCCGCACGCGCATTCACCGCCATTGGACTCGGAAACTGCTATCTAACCTCAAGTTTGAAACGTTTTTAACCTTGAATCAAAGCCGAACGTATGTAAGTACATAAGTCTACTTAAAATCCAAATCGAGTGCAATTTTTTTCCCTGCACGATTTTGTGATATATACATTGACTTAGATTTTTAAACGTTTTGACTCAATGAAGCAATAATGATCGTTGTACATTTCTATAACTTTGGATAACTTTGATGTGATTGTGATTTTACTCGAAACAAAAACAACAAATGATGCTCACCAAGCTGTTCACACTAGCAATAATTATTAATTGTGTGGGGAGGGGATACATTTGAGGTTATGTGAATGACAGCGGTTTGAATTTTTACATCAGGCGGTTTTTTTAAAGTTTTTATTTAATAACGCAAAAACTAATAGAGATAAACTAATAATTCTTTCATAAATATATGGAGAATTAAATTATTTATTGATTTATACAAGTTTTAAAATAATAAGTTATTACATAAATATTTACAAGCGAATAATCTTCAAACAGATTAAAAATAGAAAAATTACGGTTTTTGCTAAATAAATTGCTCTAAAAAATTATTTCTGATAAATTTTTTGATTGATTATATGAAGAATTTAATATGGAATTTATCTTTGAAAGAATTATGGTATTATTTCTTTTAGTTTGTTAGTTATTAATGAAAAACCATCGAAACTCAATTTATAGACCGCTGAATCTAATAAGTTAGGGATAGCGGTCTGAAATATTACGGAACTGTACGCGTCATTATTTTAATTTATTATTCAAAGACTAAATACGCTATAATTATGATTCTTTCACCAAACTATTCTCTATTAAATTCTACATTGAAGAATGTAAATTTAAAAAATATTACATTTTTAGAAAAATAGTTACAGGCTATCAAATTTCACTTTTGTAAAAATTGAAGAACCATACTTTTTACTGTATAACTCGCTCAAAAAATGGTTATCAAACTATATTTACCACTTTTAGATACGCAATTTAACGTAGAATCCATTTATGAAAGAATCATTATCCTAACTTGTTTAGTTTAGGAATAATTCACGATTAACGCTTAAAAAACGTTTATTGTATAATTTTAGACCGCTGTACTACACATAACTCTGAATTCCTCCCCGCACATTATACTTGTAAGCAGCTTTTGACAAACTTTTACAATATTTACAAATTTACACGACTTATGTAAACTACACTGTAAATACTTATCGTTCCAACCTAATTTAGTCGTAAATCGCATAGATTTAGCGTGTAATAATCTCAAAAAATCTCAAAACCAAGTACCTAGAGTCTAGACGATACGTAAAATTTGTATATAAATATGAATGCGTTTGTATTGTGCTTGTGTTTCCTTAATGTTTATCATTTTATTGCCAAAGTATTATTATTTATGTTAGGTTATAGTTTAACGGTTGTACAAATCTCCTTCACTTATAATTACTTTATTGTAATCAAACAAACAAAAAACGAAATCAAAATCATGCTGCAATATAATTTCGTGCAAGACCACATTATAAATCATACATAATAAAGAAAAACAGGATATATATTGATTTGTACGTTTTAACCTCAAATCTTAACCTTATATGTATGAAATGATGAAGATTTGTTATGTTGGTTGCATAATGTGTATTTTACGGCGTTTTAATCGATTTTTTAAAGCTTTTGATGCTTTTATAGCCCGTTGAGTCGTAAAAGAATCGAACGAACTTGAACTAGAGACGTGTCGCTGATAAACAAAATAATTATGTGTCTGTTAACGCGATTAGACGCCATTTAGCATACGCGTACGTTGCATAGTGGTGTGATACGTCAGCGAGGGTGTTAATTGAACCCGAATTAACGCGTCTTTTGCACAGCGAGACGAAAATTTCCCACTTTCGAATCGTCAGCCGATGTGAGGCGGTCAAGTTCGCACTGCGGCTGCGCACATTGGGGACGGTTATAGATCTCTGGCGCTTTGGAACCGGCGCATTACGACACTACGAGTTGTTGAAGTTGGCACATCGGGCACGAATTTTAGACAAATAGTCATCGCCCACATTCCATTCACTTTGTAGGACAAGATAGAATACATACGGTCATCATGAAGCGTTTTCTCGGGAATTATTTGATTAATGGGAGGATGGCATGTGCCAGGACGAATGGATTATCTTTCCGGGAGCATGTTGCTTCCTTACACACAATTCACAACAAGGTAAACATAAAATATAAATATTTAAGATGTTTATGGTCAAAATAAACAAAAATTGTTTGTTTTTGTAATGGCGGCTTTGATTTTAAATGAATTTTTATTTTAGGAGATGTTTGATGCTTCCAATAAGAAACGAGCACTAAGGTATGTCGTAATTTCATTTTGAAGGCTTTATTTTTATTCTTTTTATTTTTCTTTTTTGTTTGCATGGTTCTAGACGCCGTTATTCGTTTATACACGATCCGAATTATATGTATTTGTAAGTAGTTTTGGCCAGCACAAAATTTTACTGCTTTTTATGTGTATTTTATCATTGAATATCATAAATATTAACCCCACAGGTCAGCCGAACAGGAACAACCTGAAGACACGCTTTTCGAAATGTTTAAAAACAAAGAAACAGGGCTTCTTTCAATGGGCAAGTTCCTAGCAGCATTGAAAACCACGGGACTCAAAAAAGTTGATCCAAGATTAAAGGAAATGATGGAGAATTTGAGAAAAGTACAAAAAAGCACCAAACCTGATGGACATTCAATAGATACACAAAAATTAGATTTACCCACATTCCGAAGGTTAATATAACCTATATTTTAAACTACGTAAATATAACCTTAAAATTTATGTGATTTACAGCATTGTTTCACAAAATATTGGAATTATATCGAGAGCTTTCGAAATCAGTTCATAATTCCAGAGTTTCAAGCGTTCAGTAAAGAAATCGAAGAGATTTACTGGAAGTGTAAAGATAATACCAATGGGAATGTATGGGTTTTACTTATTAGAGTGAATTTAACCTCAATTATTGACTTTTTTGGTTTTATGTTTTAGGTGGCTGCATATATCCCACAGTTGGCGCGCATGAGCCCAAATTATTGGGGCGTGAGCGTGTGCACGGTGGACGGGCAGAAGTTCTCCATTGGTGACGTAAATGTGCCTTTTACCCTTCAATCGTGTAGCAAACCTCTAACGTATGCCATAGCTTTAGATCAACTGGGCGCTGATACAGTGCACTCCTATGTCGGACAGGAGCCCAGCGGGCGCAATTTTAATGAACTCATCCTTGATCATAACAGTATAATCAATTTTATATTAATTTATTTATTCATTACTAAATTAATCATAAAAATTTATAGAAAAACCTCATAATCCGATGATTAACGCCGGTGCTATTTTGGTTTGTGCTCTGTTGAAAACCCTGGTACGACCTGAAATGACTCTTGCTGAAAAGTTTGATTTTACTATGAATTATTTTGAGGTTAGTTTATTATAACCTGTTTTTAAGTCTATTATAAACTAAAAGTTATGTGTTTTACAGAGATTGGCAGGACATGAAGATCTCGGGTTTAATAACGCTGTGTTTTTGTCTGAACGTGAAGCAGCTGATAGAAACTACGCGCTTGGGTTTTACATGCGTGAGCATAAATGTTACCCGGAAAAGACAAGCTTCCGGGAGTCTATGGACTTTTATTTTCAAGTAAAATCTGTCAAATTTTTAATTTTTTGATTCTAAAAGTTTAAAATTCTAGTGTTGTTCAATGGAAGCCAACTGTGATATCGTCTCTGTAATGGCGGCGACGTTAGCCAATGGTGGCATATGCCCACTGACAGAAGAAAAGGTCCTCAGTCCGGAAAGCGTCCGAGATGTCCTGTCTTTAATGCACAGTTGTGGCATGTATGATTATTCTGGTCAATTTGCGTTCAAAGTGGGTTTACCAGCCAAATCAGGTGTTTGTGGTGGTATGTTGGTAGTCATCCCGAATGTAATGGGTTTCTGCACGTGGTCACCGCCATTAGACGCACTGGGCAACAGCTGTCGAGGTGTCCAATTCTGTGAAGAACTTGTTAAAAAGTTCAACTTTCATCGTTACGACAGTCTCACACATAACAATAAAATTGATCCACGCAGACATAAATTCGAAACAAAGGGTTTAAATATTGTAAATTTATTGTTTTGTGCTGCGAGTGGTGATATCACAGCACTGAGACGGCATAAACTATCAGGGATGGATATGACTTTGGCGGATTACGATGGCAGGACAGCGTTGCATCTTGCAGCAGCTGAAGGACATGTTGATTCTGTGGAATTCCTGTTGAATGATTGTGGCGTAGCGTATAATGTCCGCGATCGATGGGGAAATACTCCACTGGATGAAGCTACCTCATTCGGACATATAACTGTTATCGATTTATTGAAGAACTGGGGTGAAGAGTTGTCGAAAAAGCAAGAGGAAGGCGGTTCCAGTACACATATTCCTCCCCATGCAGCATAAGATCAAAAACAATAATCTCAATTCAATTTAGAAGCAATCTAGAGCAATTTGTATAAAGTAAAGTAAAGTTATATCAGTATTATATGAGCCGCTTATTTTGAAAGTGGCCTAACTCCATTTATCTTCAAATCGAGATATTGAAAGTTTTGCGTTTCAATGAATTTAAAAATATACGTATAAGATACAAAGGAGTCATACTGCTTAAGCATATCTTAGGATGTTAAATTTAAAGTTCATGTTAAAATAGTGGCAATTACTAAGTAAATAACGTGCGTTTCCTTATCAAGAATGGAGTTGGGCCACTTTCAAAATTAACAGCCAGATTCATTATAAAATTTGAAGATGCCCAAGTCCATTCAACATAATTTAAGATGTTTCAAATTGAAGAAAAAAAAACGTCTTCGTTTCACAGACAGCTTCGTGAAGTAATACATTTTGTTTGTTAAAATCTGCCAAACCCCAAAACTTCTCAAAAATATTCTTTCTTTCTTCTTCATTATAATTTTTTGTGCACGCATTCCGACAACCACAATCTTTGTTTTCGAAATTTTTTTCATGAACAATACTTCCGGTTTAACTGCAATATCTTTTTCCTGAATTCCGTTTTATCTTTCGCACTTTTTGGATATATGGTGCATCAATCTTTTCTCCATTGTTATTTGAATCTTCATCCTCTGACGAGGAATATTGTTTTATAACTCTTTTTCTTATTCGCTTTTTTTTATTAATTACTATTTCTTTTTCACTATCTGAACTAAGTGGTCTTCTTCGGTTCTTCCTCATGGGTGCAATAATTTCTATAATTTAATATTAAATTTTAAGTTTTATATTAATTAAACGTACAGGTTAATTAACTAACGCAATTGTCCCAAAAATGAGGTGGACTTGTAAATACTAATTAATTGAAATTACCTTCATCGCTGCTTTCCGTTATTATCAATAGTAAATACCTTGATGTAACTATAAATGGAGTTAGGCCACTTTCAAACCACACGGGTCAGTTATTCAATTAATTCGGAAAACCTATGTGTAAAAAATGTACCGTATTTTCTCTGAATATAAGCAATCTGAAGTGCGTCACTGATAAATAACATGAAGTTGTACATGTAACCATGGTAACCGGCAAAAAATTGAAAAACGGAGTTAGGTCACTTTCAAAATAAACGGCTCATATATAGATGGGTCAATTTTTTGATGTTGTTGATGTTGTATTCAAAGCTAATAAGACAATAATAAGCATTACAATTGTAATTTATTATTTAAATTACATATTTTGGATGTTTTCGTTTGTTAATCCTTGAAGGATAATAAAACATGTTAAATCAATATGTATACTTGGTTGCCTATATTACACAGACAAATGAATATGTTTCATGCTGAAAATCAAACCTGCCATGAATAAAAACAATCGGAAACAAGTAAATAATAACAAACAGTTTTTGTTGAGTGAGTGTTTCATTCACCTGTGTTGTTTCTTCATCTTTTAAAAATGTTAAACAATACTATTAATAATGGTCAAGTGCCTACCACCCTCGCAAATATCCCACCGTGTTATGTGAGATCCTCGGTTAATTTAACAACCCACATGGTCCCTGTTCTCATGTTCGGTTACATTACCAGTTATAAGGTAGAACCATCAAAATTTATTGTAAACGGCATGAAGAATCTGGCGATTAATGGTGGATTGAACCAAATCCACAAAGTAATTAACACCGGGAACGTCATTCGGGAATTAAAAGAGTTTGAAAAATATTCCTTGGAATTTCGAGGACCACCGATGATTACAGAAGCTGTTAGTATTGATATCGATAGAGAAAATGACTCAGATGACTGTGCTCCTAATAAAAGATTGAAAATAGTCGATGTTAGGGACGATTCATCGGATGTAGAAGAAGAAAACAAAGTAACTTCCGATTCTGGAATTGGTCCTGAAATTGAAATGGAAGTAGACTTAATTTCGCCATCTGAAGAAGACCCGGATGCTGATGTCGTTGACCTGAGAGAAGATAAAAAGCAGCGGGAATTTGAAGAGGCCACTTATAAGTTCCTATGTGAAGGTGACCCAGAAATTGACAGTCTTAGTGGTAAAATAAGACCATTGTCTCGGGTTATACAAGATGAACCAGAGTTTTCCTTCCAAAATGTTATAACTAAGCTAAGAATGCTTAAAAGTATTATTTCGGAAAAACCTTTGAGTAGTGAGTCACCATTATCGCCTCTATCATCATCTGTAGAAAACTCGCCTGATCCTATCTCTTAATTAATTTTAAAAATTGTTTAATTAAAGTGTTATTTATGTTATATTTGTTATATGATTAATGATGTTTGTGTTTATTTTGTAAACTTTTTTCCTGTAAGAAAAGTTGTTGATTGTTTTGTGTCACAATAAAAAATGACTAAGATATTTATCGTATGTTTCGTCAAATCTATTAGCATCATTTTTTTGGCGGTGTGCTGATATTTCAGCTGCTTGCGAAAGGGGCGAAGCGGCAGCGTGCGAATTTAAAAGAATTGGACTTTTCCATTAGGGATATTACTTGCTTCTCGTGCGTTAAAGCGCCGGGATACACTGTACAGAAAAGCACATAGTCAATTTTCAGCTCAGTCTACGAGCAGTGGATTGGTACCACCTATATTCATTGCGTTTCGAAATTATGAAGAAAAAATCCAGAGGAATGAAATTCAACCGGATATTATCTTTATTATTCGTATAATAAATACTGTGGTTAGTTGTACGTTTTATTTTGCATTTAGGAAATTAGTTTTATAAAAACGTTACTTTTTAGGTTAATTATTTAATTAATTTAGCTTTGTATTGTTGTAAAATTAGAAAGAAGCAAGCAAATAGTACAAAAAGACACATTTGGTGCTTGTTACGTGCATTTTACTAAGAATAGATTTTAATTGAACAGATGTACATTGTTATTTCTTGTTACATTCAATAGAATAAGCTTTGTATTGAAGTAGACCAAAAGATATTACTGGAAATTGTTATTTGTTATCACTTATATCTACTTTATTTTTGATTCTTGTATTCTCCTTAAAATTAATTTATTTTTTAATATATTTCATTTTAACGTAGGCAACTTTTAATGCTAATAGTGCACATAATGTAGGTTACACAAGATAAATGTAAAAACTGTTAATAATGTGAGTTTAAAATAGATTAATCTTTCTTCCCTATGTTATCTCACGCAATATGATACTCCTATCCATTTTTCCAAGTTAATAAACAACAAAACTAATGAAAAACAAATAAACATAACATAATATATTAATGTTAGAACAGTAATACATAATACAGTAAAAATGTATGGAATCAGGAAGCAATGTTTTCGTACTTGTGCACATTTGCATATCAAACGTCATGAAACAAACGTAGCCTACCCTGGATATGTTTCAAATAAATTAAAACATGCAGGACGAGCGGCGGTGAGCGTGTGTGTCGGTGCGCATTCGTCCAGTGATTAATTATGTTGCACACATTATTATTCATTTCTATCTTTTGGCGTTGGCGCGCGGGTTGTGAAAAATGTGTAATGTTTTGCATTTTTCCAGCGCACTCATTTACATATACGTGCGAATATATTTCACCCAACGCGGGGGCGGTTATTGTTTATACGGAAATCATTAAAATGTTAATTTATTTCGTATATTTGAATCTAAATCATTATCTTTCATCAACAAACAATTAAATTTATTATATTTTAACCATAATAATTATATTAACGTATATAAATCATGTTACATGTGTGTATATTTGGTTGCTGATCATTAGGCGTAAAAAATTTATTTCTAACCTCAATTAAACACTATTTAGATAAAAAAATTTGTAAAAGCGATTTGTCACGTGTTGAATCAACACTTATTTACACAAAAAGTAAAATTGATTAAAAATTTCGTATAAAATTAACCTCGCACGTGCTTTATCACTAAAAAAACTTATGAGTTAGGAAAAAAGGTAAAAACTTGTAAACAAACGGTACGTGCAAAGGCGCGAAGGTGTCGTCCACGCGTGTTTGTGGGAGGGTGGAGGCGGCAACAACCCCACTGCACGCCGTTCGCGCACCGCATCGAATTCGAATTCGCGCGTCGTCCCCGCTATCAGTCGGCTGCGGTACGCCGAACGCGCGCGCTGGCTCACAATCTACCCTCTCCGGCTCGGACTCGCGGTGGTGGTGCACAAGGGGTGCAAAACTTTTCGGACCACGTGGTGAGTGTACAAAACTTTTACGCATTTAATTCATATTTACAATTTCTACGCTCTTGCATTAATAATAATTTAATATTCACAAACGATAAATTTGCGCAACCCTTTAAAACTTTAAACTTTTTCAAATTCAATAATAACCAAAAGTATTTTTTTAATTAGATCGTTGTCTCCGATGAAAGTCACGTCGTTCAATTTCGATGAAATTCCCGACGTCAGGTATTTGAGCGTTCGGAATTTTATGAAATTCCACGGAATGTTCGCGTTTTTACGGCCCGGAAGTTTAATTCAGATGTCAATTTCCACGCACGTTGGATAGAAATAGTTACTGAATTTCCAAACAAAACAATTCCGACAGCTGAAATTTGGTTATGTTTGCATTTGTCGATGAATTGTTGTTTTAATCGTTGTGATTGATAATAAACGAGTATATAATACCTTGCCACTCGATTATAAATTGTAGTAATTGTAGGCGGTAGGCGGGAAGCGCAAACAAGCAATAAAATGCTCGTCGCTGTCCCGCATTCGCCACAATGACAAGACAGATCACCCGGCGGCGCGGCGTGCACCCTTGATAAAGAGCCGCCGCAACGAGGATTTGATTGATTGACGCTGATATCAGCCCGCGCGCGCGCTTCGAATTTCCACAACGCGTATTGACATCTGACATCGCCAACAACGCATGCGCATGCACCCGCGTAAATTAGCATTAAGATAATTAGCGCGCATTTGCATATTCGATTAATTCACAAATAATGCACGCCGGCTGCGTCCATACACAATGCGAACGCATACACAGCAAAAACAAATGCGTGATTGATTGATAATGTTGTGAATGTAATAATAATCATGTATTTTTAAGTGTGTTACACGTCACAATTGTGCATTGTTGACGGTGAGCACAATGGCGGCTTTGTGTCCGCCATTATTAGCAAACGCAGTTGCTAATAACGTGTCGATATCTCTACATGAAGGGGTTGGAAACGCGCGCGCGTTCGGCGTTGCGTGTGAAACGCGGCGTGAAACGCGGCGTGAAGTGCGTGTTTTGTACTGTTTTGTACTTACATTAACTGTGAATTGTGGCTGACAAACCGGCAAACATGAAACAGCGGCGCTATAATGTGGATGAGCAAACATGTTTACCCGGGTTGCGTTTATCGCCATTATTCATGCTTCGCGTGCAATATTTATGTCGATAATGCTGACGAGCACAAATATTACACTGGATTTCTGTCAGAAGTTATATACGTTTATTTGGTTGCATAAAATTCGCAAAATTCGCACATAATTGAGGTTAATTGTATAAAATTATAAATTCTGCTAGTTTTGTATATTGAAAATATAAATGTGTGATACGTTTTGAGTTTTCAATTATAATCATGGCGGATTTTGAGTTTTGACGTCGACGTAGATCCAAAACGCAAATAATACGAGTACGTCGTGCGTTTTGTGTGGCGCATTGGTAAACATTTGCATTCGATAATCAAATGGGGTGGTGGAAAAAACGCCGCGACCGGAATGGAATGGAAATCCAAATCGAGCGCACCATCGGACGCCGCCCGGCTAATTGTTATTTGTGTACACTCGCGAAATGTTCTGTCAACACAACCGGACAGCTATACAGCGGAAAAAGCGGCGCGAATCGAAACGGATACGCGAAAATAAACATTATGCTAATAAACGTCATGAAAATGAAATTTTATGGCTTCATCTTGAGCGAGAAAAGTCTTGTATTGCGGTTATGATAGTTTGGTTGCCTATATTACGTACATTTTAACTAAAAATAAGTATAATTATTAACTCTATCACCAAATTCTACCTCAAGGCTTAAATAAATAGAAAAGTTTGTAATATTTGTATTTAACGCAAAAAAATCCGGTTTATGTTGATATTTATTGTGTATAAATTTGTATAAACAGTTGAAATGCTCTTTGCTCCGCTTTGGAAAACTTTACCTATCTTCTTATCTTGCCAGATGGCAAACGCTGAGCGGGAAAACTTTGCGCAACTTGTGAAAATCGTCGGGAAGTAAGTTTAAGAAGTGAGTTACGAGCGACCGGGGCGAAATTGGTGCGCATTTAAATTGGTAATCGGTTGCAAGTTAATTAAAGATACTAAATAACCGAGGTGCAATTTGGCCGCTAATGCACACTTTAAACGTTTTCCCACTTTCCGCCACGAGGATTTTCTTGACTGTTTATTTTCCGCGAGTATCTTACACGTAATTATCCGCGTTCAGTTAGTTTAAACTAAATGGCTACTTTAATTGGCTGCAAAATTAAAAGCGAATTTATTTCGCTGGAATGTTGTTAATTGTTTATGTTTTCGTTTGTCTGAAAATGTGTAATCTATTCATAACACACATTCACGTTATGATGGCGTATGTTTACGCTCGAGAGAAGCGTTGATTGCGGAAACAGCGCTTTAATTAAGGTTAAATACGGCGGTATTTGTCTACCGCATTCACGCAAACTTTCCAAACACAAATAGTAACAAAACATCAACTAAAAGTTTTGGTAAACAATGTGAATATGTATTATATTTGGATTAATCAATCCATTAACATACTTTTTCTGATAACTTTTATAATATAGATAATAATTTCTTAACGGGATTGTTCGTTATTAGAAAATTTGAAAATTGAAAATTGCAGATGCAAAGTTCGTTTTCAATTAAACCGTTCGACGCTTAGAAGTTGAGGCTTTCACGAAGAAGAATTCATCGAGGTCGATCAATGATGAGCCTCATAGTCGTAAATGAGCCCTTCTTCTTGCTTCCACTTCTACACAACTCTTCGCGCTCATATTTTCTGCAATTTCGTGAGCTCGACTTTAAAGTCTCTCCCCTCGAATGCAATATAATGCCAAGAAGAGAAGACGGCAGGGAGAGAATAGGACTTTTCTTAAATGGTCGTAAACGGTTTAACGTTTGTTTATATAAACGTTGTTTTTATTCGTGGATCTCATAAAAAGAGCAGAAAAAGAATGCGAGCTTTTGGGTTGGGGTATGTTTTGTAGATTTTTTTGATAGTCTCAACGTACATCTTAAAATAGTAAAAGAAGCCAACACAAGATTGAAAACATGAATATAGTTTATAAATTTTGCAAACTTTTAGATCTTTTTACAAAGATACTCACCTTGTAAATTTCAGGCTTTTAAACCTTTAACAAGTTCTTCAAAATATCTTTGGAAAATTGCTATTTCTTCAATTTTTGGAAAATTGATCTGGAAGGTTTTCCATCTCCTATGATATTATAAGAACTCTTTTACATGATGCGCATACTTTTAGCCTTATAAACCTTCAAGGGAAGTTTTAAATGCCTTTTGCATCTAATAGATAATGAGCTCTTCTATAAAATGCTTATCAACTTTTCTAATCCTTAAGAGATGCTCCAAAATATGTATTACAAATTAAAAAAAATAAAACTCTCTATATTTTATTTTTATATTTTTTAATTTTATATTTTATTTTTTTTCTTCTATTTTCTATAGCTTCAGAGTTATTCTTTAAGGTGCATAGCTTTTTTATCGAAAATTATAAAAGTTAGCGGACCAGAGAACACAAAAATAGCAATTATATGGGTTTCCCGAAAGTTAATCCCACAAATTATATACGTATATAATGCAGAATTTTTTAATACTTTTAATTTGGTGAGAGAATGGTTGCCCTACAAAATCGCAAAAAACACAAAAATGCTCTTTTTGTGTTTCTGTCCGCTAATTTTTGATATTTTCGACCCGAAATTGAACGCGAACAATTCAAATTATGTCGAAATACCCGCGAAAATTTTCAGCCTCCTCAACTTTCTGGGATCCGGATAACACCAACCAATTTTACCATTAGTTTTGGACCCGAAATTGAAATGGCCCATACCCACACATGCGCTCGTTCACATATGCAGTGTGTGTGTGTGTGCTCGCGTTTAATTTCGGGTCGAAAACTAATGGAAAAATTGGTTGGTGTTATTCGGATCCCAGAAAGTTGAGGAGGCTGAAAATTTTCGCGGGTATTTCGACAAAATTTGAATTGTTCGCGTTCAATTTCAGGTCGTAAATTACAAAAGTTAGCGAACCAGAAAACACAAAAAGGGCATTTTTGTGGGTTTCCAAAGGGTTAATCCTACAAATAATAGACGTATATTATGCAGAATTTTAATACCTTTACTTTGGTGAGAAAATGGTTGCTCTGCAATATCGCGTTCGTCCAGAAAATGCTAAAAACCACAAAAATTATTCAATTTTGAAAAACAAAAAGGGCATTTTTATGGGTTTGCCAAAGGTAAATCCCATAAATAATATACGCATATTATGCAGAATTTTAATACCTTTAATACGGTAAGAGAATAGTTGCCCTACGACGTCCCGTTAACCCTGAAAATGCAAAAAACCATAAAAAGTTACCAATTTTAAAAACAAAAAGGGCATTAATATAGGTTTCCCGATGGTTAATCTAACAAATTATATACGTGTATTATGCAGAATTTTAATACCTTTAATTTGGTGAGAGAATGGTTGCTCTACGACATCCGGTTCGCCCAGAAAATGCTCTTTTTGTGTTTCTTTCCGCTAATTTTTGATATTTTCGACCCGAAATTGAACGCGAACAATTCAAATTTTGTCGAAATACCCGCGAAAATTTTCAGCCTCCTCAACTTTCTGGGATCCGGATAACACCAACCAATTGAGCCGCTTATTTTGAAAGTGGCCTAACTCCATTTATCTTCAAATCGAGATATTGAAAGTTTTGCGTTTCAATGAATTTAAAAATATACGTATAAGATATAAAGGAGTCATACTGCTTAAGCATATCTTAGGATGTTAAATTTAAAGTTCCTGTTAAAATAGTGGCAATTATTAAGTAAATAACGTGCGTTTCCTTATCAAGAATGGAGTTGGGCCACTTTCAAAATTAACAGCCAGATTCATTATAAAATTTGAAGATGCCCAAGTCCATTCAACATAATTTAAGATGTTTCAAATTGAAGAAAAAAAACGTCTTCGTT